TATGATAGCTAAGTAAGATCGTACGCCTTACTGAGTTAGGACATAAATTAGGATACGGTTTACTTATAGTCTCCACTTTAATTGAAACTAAAATGTATGCTCATGACTTCGTGTGAGCTAAAAAGAACCTATCTACTAACTCATGTTATGAACTATATGTCCGTCAAATTTGACCCAAATCCTTTAAACAGGTTTGACTTCAACTTCAACTTTTGTGTCTATGGCTCCGTCGTTTTGCGCGACGATTTTGCCGTGATTGTAAAAATAGAAACGTTCATTCATTCAAAGTATCTCGTTTATTATATTAGTAGAATTACTTATTAATATGCAAGAAGTTCATTACAACAGTTTTATAGTAACTAACCAACAACCCACGCCATGGTTCCATTTAATTTCTGACTAACCGCAGTTACAGAGAAATAAGATTGTAATATAAATAGATAACATTTCTACTCAGCAATTTTTTGTAAACTAACGCTTCACGCAGTGCAACATTAAAAGCCATAAAGTATATGTGGTTTCTAATTCATAAATAATCTATTTACAGACATGAATAAAATAATGAATAGATCAAGTTTGCAAACATTTTGTACTGAAATAGACTAACTTGGTTAATTTACTGTAACAACTTAATTGTGTTACTAGAATCGCCACTTGACGCAGAATTGTCAATAGAGTATGAACAGGGATAACTACTATTTTTACATTAAAATCACTCTGAATTATGATTACCTATACAAAATTTAAAGGGCCACTGCATTGTGTCAAACCAAGACCGCATTTCCCAGTACAATGTTTTTTAATTTCATTTCAACAAGAATGTTTCGATTGTTATAAACGAAAAAGAAATTTATTCTGTTTGCAATAGAAATTACTTATTTTTCGAAGTAAAATTTCAATAGCTGAATAGAATTCTTTCATATCTAATGTACAAAGCAAGTTAAATGTATCTTTTATGTCATTGGTCTCAAAAGTAACAGAAAACCAGTGAATCTTTTTTTTTTCAACTTTTTTTTAGTTACACTGTAACTAAAAAAAAGTTGAAAAAAAAAAGTATTGGTATGACAGGATAGCACGAGTGAAACAATTTTTCTTAATAGTGCGCATTATAATAAAAACATTTTTAAACGCATTATTAATGATTCTGAATCACCTCTTTCCGGTGTAACGTCCTGTACTATAAACAAGTATTTTGTGTATATTTACAATATGACGTATAGGAGTATAATGGCATTAAACATAACACTCTCTCGTTGTTCTACAAACAAATTAATTTAGAAGAATAACTGGCAAAGGATTTATCTATACTAATGTGCATTTCATATTTCTGGGAATGTTATTCCTGATAATTTTTAACTACGGTTTAAGAAAAGCAAACCCTACACAATTTGTTTACTGTACTTATTTTGAAGAGATTCTTGTAATTCCGTGCTTGATGCAGTATGTCTGATACCGCAGACGTACCTAGTTTAAATTACAAAAATCTGAGATCACCTTTATTTACCCTGTAAAAACTGGAACGCAATAATACTCACTTTACTGCTTGGCGGCAGAAAAGGAATAGGTAAGGTGGCAATACTTCCCATTCACACTTTGGCAATATCTATTTTCTTTCACAAGGAGACTTACTGGTACTAAGTAACAGTTTTTCTAATTACAATCACCTCTTTTAAAAAATCCCGTGGGCAAATAAAGACTTGTTAAATTCGCCCTGTATAGGAACTTGATTTAAATTTTACATAAAATATCGATAATGGTATAATAGTTATATTCAAAGGCATTAAAAGAATCGTTACTTATTGTAAAAACACTCGTGTTACCCATATCCTTTGGATTTTTATTTAAAAGTACGTATGTAATTTTACAGTCAATACTCGGTTATTTTAAGAGTTGACGCGTATTATGACATATTATAAGAGTTTTTATGCCCATCACGTTACCAACGACTACAAAGTGTGAACTTAAGTCAAGGCTCTCAATTTAATGCTGTTTTTATTTGCCATTAATTTCATTCGGTCGTTTGAGGACAGAAAACCGTAAAAATACGCTCAGAACGGAATAGTTTTTTTATTTCTTTTCTCGTCGTTTGATAGCTCTATAATCAGTGCGTCACCGGCCATTGCTTTTTCGAATCACCAGTAATAGTAATAATCATAGCAGTAATCTTTATTTTCTTTTTACAAAGGTTACAAAAGTGATTTAAAAACATGAAGTGCTTTAAGTAGTATAATACCTTTGTAAGAGACTGTCTATACTAGGAAGTAACCAGTTGCCAGTGGCGCTACTGACGCCTTTTTTCATACAATTCTGACAGTTCTGCCCTCCTTATTATAACTAACGTAATCGTCATTTTTAGCGAAATAATGTTATTAACATATCAGAGACGTGCTGAGGGCTCGGCCCGGACGCCCGCCTTAACCTGGGGGTCTACTCTCGATCTCCGTCCGACATCCGTCCGAATCAATTACTGCCAAATAAGCAATACTTTTTTAATTGCCTCTGTGGCCGAACGGTTACCATGCCGGACTGCCACGCAGAGGCCCCAGATTCGATTCCCGGGCCGGGAGAAATATTTGTATGGCCTACATTTATTTCTCTCGTGAGTTTGGATGTAATTTGTGGTTGTCTATGTGTGTGTCCGTGGCACCCGCGACACAGGGTTTCCCTAGTGCGGGGCTATGTTGAGTGTGTGCGTTATTATTATTATACTTGACCAAACGAAAAGACGCGTGATGCGAATGAAGCTTCATACTGGATACTTGTCTTTTAAATTTGTCGAATATTACTTATTTGACAGTAATTGTTTCGGACGAATGTCGGACGGAGATCGAGAGTAGACCCCCTGGTCTTAGCGGGACGTCCGTAGTCTCCCCGGAACTCCCTATCTCTCAGGTCGGTAGATAGGGACAAGGAGGGCAGAGTTGCAATTGTATATTTTCTAAAATTAATTCTGTATCAATTGCTAGGATTTAAAGTTTACATCCTACTTAAAAACTACTCGATGCCAATATTAAATTATCGTGTTGCTAACAAAGTTTTAACAAGTAACTTTTGAACCGTGAAACGGTGACGCCAGTGTTGACTTTTGACATTAATGTTTTGTGTTGTCAACAAACGACAGTAGTTCTTTAGAATACAGCGTTTATGTTGAATATGCAATGCTCTGCGAGTCCACGTATGTGATTGAGTTTGGTAATCACCAAACAATATACTTCCCGAATTTGAGAATTTCCGTGACGTGCGAAGTGTGCATGTATGTAAGCCTTAAACAAGCATTGGGCCAGCGTGGCGGATAACGTCATCATAAATTGAAAGTGAGTGCGCATTGAACCTCCATCTCATGTGATAGACGTGACGATGAGGTCGACGATGGAGCATGCACACCTAAATAATGCCTATTCAACATCACCTTGAAAAGGCCCAAGTTAGAGCGTTCAGAGAATAATTTTGCAGACAGGAAATTGCACACAGCCGTACGCCGTATAATGTGGAAGAATAACGCTTCGTGCGAAGCTTTGGAACATCAACAACATAGGGGTCACTCAAAACTCAAACATAAGGCAAACGATTCCCGGTTATTCTATCACTGCTTTAAGGTATAAAACGGTATTTAATTGAAATTAATGCTTCAATCAGCTGACTTAAAATTTGGACATGTGCCAGAAATAAATTTAAAATTTGTTTTTCGAAATCTCATCTAACACATGAGATATTGATGTTTAAAGATATGGGGCGAATGTCGTCCGTTTTTAGCAAAATGGTCATTAGTAAGTTGGCTTGTTTGGAATTAAGGGTGACGTCACTACAGTTTCTAACTCCTGATTTCTGAATGCTGTAAATTTCTATTCTGTTTTCAAACTTCACTGTCAAATTATATCAATTTGTTAGCCTTAATAAAAAGAAATGAATTTTCGATAACGTATAAGAAAAATATGCAAATCACAAAACCTTTTAAAGCTGACGTTGGTCTTTTAGAAACGAATTTTATGCATGTAACTGTAAATCGTGGATAATTTGTGGGAAACCGCAGTTGGCGTTCAAAATATTCTTTGTTGCAAATACCTCGTCATTGTAAAAAACAAGTCCGTGTTTTTATAGCAATTTGCGAAAATTAGAAAGAGTAATTCATCATTTTGGAAGATCATAATAACTTTTTATTTATTATTTATTATATACACTGAGTATAATAATAATGTGCCAAACAACCACACTAATTGCCTGGTCCCATACTAGACAATTCCTCTGTGTAAAACTTTAGAGTAACGGAATTCACTCTGGGGCACTTCCCAGAACACCGAGACCAGAACCAATTTAGAAAAGTTCATTTCCCAAATTGGTACCGGGAATCGATCCCGGGACCTCATCCAGTGCCCACTATGCAAACCCTTGTTCCACCGAGATTGTCGTATTAAAGAAAACAATTTGCTTGCGTGTACTTATGATCTGCGCACCTGAAAACGGAAATTGGCAATAGACATTTGATAGCCAGATATTTTTGGCAGCTTCAATGAGACGATGGTAAAGCTTACAAAAGGGCATTACAATTTAGGAATCGAATTTTTAAATTGATTTACATTTTGGTATTTCTTAATTTGGACAATGGTTTAGCAAAATTCCCAGACAAACGGTTTCATAAATGATTATGATGAATTCGAAACACTACAAAAGTACTTTACTCTCGAATACAAAGTTAATTTATAATTCTACAACTGCCATGTTATGTTACACACTCAAAAATAACTTTGTTGGTTGAGAGCCGATAAAGTTGTTTTCCCATAACCAAGTTTTTATTGGCTAGTGCGTATCATTTTGTAGTCATGACAATAAAACTTTTGCACAAAAATTCGTTCTTCAGTTCCATGCCTATAAAAACTTTGTTATACTAAACACTTCTCCTCCAACAAAGATTTTTTAAAGTGTTGTAAGTGAAGTATAGTGAGTAGTTGTAGATAGTGTAGATTAAGGTAAAAAATATTAATCTCATGTTTTCCAATTGCCAGGACTACAAAAAACCATTAGAAGAAAGCAGCCCAGCGATCTTGAACGCAGGCAAGATTCAAACACTGTTCCATCGACTACCGGACATACTGCAGTGTCACTTGCACTTCCGCACCGCGTTGGCAGACTGCGCGCGCACGTGGGACCGCGATGAAAAAATTGGTAATTTTTTGTCGTTAGTTTAGTCATTAAGTTTGTGGCAATTTTAAATAATACAAATTGGAGTTTTGGAATAGCAAATTAATTGTAATTTGCTAAGCGAACACAGTTTAAGTGTAAATTTTTTATTCATGCAATTAATATAAAGTTTATTGAATATCACAATGCTTTGCTACCATGATATTTAATTTTTTTTTTATAATTATTAATTCAAAGATCAAACACTAAGAATAATTCCTTCGATCCGGCTGGATTCGAACCAGCGCGGCGTCATCGGCATACCATGCCGCCACCCTCCTAACTACGAAACGAGCCAGCTGACTCTACGATGTTTTCGATCTGCTTGCTGCATTTAATTTTACCACACTTCCTCCGCATAAAACTTAATAAAATCACAAACACCACCACCAAAAACCTGACAGGTGTTTCACCTAACTACTACGAGGCATCCTAAGGTTTTTTTTATAATATCAAGTGACGGGACGAACGAGTCGTGCGCCTGATGGTAAGCTAGACGCCTGTCTATAACAGTTGTAGTACCACTTTAAATCCAAAAGATCGGAGGGGCACTGCCACTGCGCCCGGCACCCTGAGACAAGTTGACAAGTCCCATGTACCTGTAATTTCACCAGCACCATTACCCTTCAAAACCGGAACGCTTACCGCGTACTGCTAACATTACTGCTTAGCGGCAGAAATAGATAAGGTTGGTTGTTAATGACAAGGAGTTTGTGAATTGCCGCACAGTAACACATGAATCAATTTTAATTGCAAATAGATTTTAAAATAACTATCCTGCTGTTCTGGATGGGCAAATTTTAATCTTATCAATCCATTTCTAGGCGAGGTCTTCCTAAGCGCGTTCTCAAAGGCAGTAGTGCTGGACGTGTATTCGGACTTCATCAACAACTTCTCCGTGGCGATGGAGTTAGCTAAGATGGAATCGAAACGTAAATCAGCGCTGGCCGACTTCTTCAAAGTGAAGCAGATCAGTGCACACGACAGATTGTCCTTCTTCGGTCTCATGGTGAAACCGGTACAACGGTTTCCACAGTTTATTATGTTTCTACAGGTGAGTATATTTCTTTAATTTATTATGATTCAAAATATGTTTTTTATGTATTTATTTACATGTATTAAATATATAAAAGCAATTATAATAATATAATAATGTACCAAACAACCACACCAATTACCTGGTCTCAAACTAAGGGTATCTCCTGTACTATGAGTATCAGAGCAACGCATTTCAGTCTGGGATGGGAGGTCCCAGAACAACCACGCCAGAACCAATTTGTGAAAGTTCAGTCTCAGATTAGTCCTGCCGGGAAACGGACACGGAACCTTGACATCCAATGCCCACAGTGCAAACCTTTGAGCCACCAGATTCGTCAATAGGTATTAAGTACTTACTACCAAGTATTTACCTACTTTCGATTTATAAATTCAACCCAACGAAAATATCTGTGAACCCCTCAAAAATATCTAGTATTTCAAATCTTCTATTAGTTTGCCTCCTAATTTACGTTAAAAACAATTACACATTGGTATGGTCGACATATAAAAATTACAGATTATTTCTGTAAAGTCTTCTAAGTGACTTTTTTTTATGTTGGTTGGGTTTGTGGGATTTTAACTTATAAATGGGTAGTAACTGTCTCAAACCTTAATTTAATTATTATCGTATCTACACACATTTATTAATATATTAACTGTACCTACATCTGTGTTTCCCGAAGTACAATTTGGGGATATTCGAGGCTAGAGTGAATAGGCATTTTTTAGGCAAACGCGTACCATTGTCGGTCACATCGTGCTTAACATCAGGTGAGTTTATGGCCAAGCGTGTGTCTATTATTTATGAAAAAACTACCATGGGAATAGTTTTTATTCCTCAATAATGATCTAGTAATCAATCAAGTAAATAAGTTTTAATTAAATAATAATTGAATACATGCATATAAGATTTTTCTTTGCCATGTACCACTAACAATGTCTCATATGATGATCCTATTTTTCGCATGTTTAGAGCTCATAACAACTTTTCTAAAGATATGGACTTATTCTCCCATAGTCGCTATACTTACTATTTAAATATTTGTAAAGAGAAGCTGAATATGTTGGATATTTAAGAATCTCATTGTTTTTATGTACGTGTAACATGATTTTTTGCTATTGCAATTTTTTTTTATTTTATTATGCTTAATAGCCTGTTAATTTGTAAATACTTTATTTATTTCGCAAATGCCGTGCGTGGCTGTCATAGGAATACAAATTTACTCCTAACTTTAAGCATCTTCACAGTTTGTATTCTGTAGCTATGCCAAAAATAAATAAATAAATAAATAATCATAGAATTCGCAATGTACATGAACAACAATTTCAAAACCGAGAAAAAATGCATTGTTAATTCTATCAATATTGCACACCATGAAATTACCTCTTATGGTCTCAGCTGGAGGCGCAATCAGACCACGCTACACCAGTTGTTAAACTCAAACCTTACGTAGTTTTTTATTTATTTTTTATTTATCAACTGCATAGCAACTGCTAATGCTGAGCAAAAGTGTCCACCAAAATTCCTCCACTGCTCTCTGACTTTGGCGGTTTCCCACCACTTCATTCACTTTACTTTATCATCCCACCAATCATTGTCTTCCATTTTCGGACATCCAAGGAGTGACGACGTATGCTCACTTCGCCATTAGATCAATTAAAGCCTGGCTGTTTAGCTTCTCACATCAGAAATGCCAGTCGACAAATGGAACTCCCTTCCAGCTCCTTACGATATCAGATCCTTCAAACGAGGCGTGAAGAAGCATCTTGTAGGCATGCAGGGTGGAGGTGACTAGGACAGTGATAGTATCAACACTGCACTAGGTACCTTCACGTTTGGATTCCACTTTCCATTTAACATCAGGTGGAGTGGAGTCATCTACCAGTCACGTATAAAAAATAAAGAAAAGTCATTGACCGCAACATTGTATTGAGCACTCAGTCAATGTCTTTAAAGACTTTATTATCATTTTATTTATATTTTTAATTTGTTTTACCAAATATGACATTAATGTATACGAAATTAAACATTTGACTGACGATAATAAAAAGAGAGATTAGTGGAGAAATTTTACATTTGAAAGCTGAGTTATATTGAACACCTTAGTCACGAAAAATGTCAAGGAGTACGATAATTAATAAAACAGTAATAAAAATATTACGCATCGAGCTTCAGAAAGAGACAGTCGGCCGTAATCGGCTACTTTCGGATTTGTAGAACGTGGTTTCTTTAGGGAATTTAATCAACGAATGGCAAATTAGCGCTAAAAGTCGCACAGGTATATAGGTGACAGAGATAACACTCTACAAAGCCGAAATTAGCCGAATGTCTTTTTCTAAAGCTCCGTAACAAATAATACGGCTTGGTACACCCAAATCGTCGCTTAGCAAACGACACCGCTCAAGTAATTGTAAGTGCACTATTTATGGACACATAATTGAATATGAGTTGGTTGTACAATTTTTATTAATATTCACGTTTTATTTGGGCTTGAGGACCGTCCATAAGTAAAAATCGCCATTTCTCGACTTGAGATATGTTGTTTGCTAAGCGACGAAATGCAATTTGACAGTGTCAATCTAATACTCCAAAATTCTTAACAATATTTTCTAAATAAACACGTCATATTTACAAAAATTGCTCATCCGATGAAACGATTTCCTGCATACTTCCAATACCGCCGTGTTTATCTAAATTTACGAGAGCTGAATCGTGTGGGCTATCTTTCCCACAGTCTCAGGCCGTTGACTTCGATGTTCCAAATAAATCTTTGTTTCTTTACTAACGAACTCTACGGGGACACATGGTTGTCCATTTTTGTAGTGCTTTAAAATAGATATCAGATTGTAAATTCAGATTGGCAGAAATCAATAACTGTCCAAAGATATTGGTACAAGAAATAACGACATGCACGGAAAAAGAGTAATGGTTAAAATTTTATATGAGTTTTCACTATGATTGTATTTGTGTACTTGTTCCTCTGTAGTCTACATTTCATTTCGGTTCTCCGCACGGTATTACTTGGAAATTATAAAATACTTCCTCTAATTATTCTAAATATACTCCATTCGAACCAAATTCGAACGGCCAAACAGCTTAATAAATTTTCTCCTGTCAACCTATATATTGTTATTCAAGGGGATCTACCCGTGCCTATTCAGGGTTATTTGTGAAATACTAACTACCTCTCAGGACTATAATGCTAACAGCATTAAAACAATTTTTGTTCCATCTTTCTCTTCGACTCTTCGACTTTTATATAATTCATCAGATTTTTCTTTCATATAAACATAACAATATTTAAATAGATCGCTCTCAACTGTTATTAACTCTATGCGGTTTGATGTAAAACACAAGAGCGGGTTTGAACTTATCCAAACCAACTAAATACAGAGATCTAAAAAGTGTTAGATAGTACAACAGAAACTTAAAAGTTTACGTTACCTACTATTTTACAAATAACCTTGTATAGTGTAGGTTGTATGGGTTGTAGTTATAAGTTGATAGGTACAAGAAGAAAGTATGATAGATTCATGTCATCGAATTAATGTGTATTACAGGTTTATTGTTTTATTTTCAAATTATACGCTTATACTCCATTCAAGGTACCTTTTTTAGAACATTTATAAAGTGAATGTTTATTGATTTGGTTCGTTCCAGGATCTCCTAAAACACACGCCACCCGGTCACTCCGACAGAGTGGCTTTACAGCGTGCTTTGACAAGACTGGAAGCGCTAGCCGAAGCCTTGAATGAAAGAAAACGGGACGCCGAAAGGACCCAGGTAAATAATCAAAACCATGTATCCGCCTGACACTTCTTATATTAGTACCATTAGAAGATATTCTTTGGTCGCATCCCCCTTTCCAGCTCTTAAATTTCTATCCTACGGTTGCCTGGAAGAAATTGATACTTAACAATAAGGCCGCCTGTTGTACATTAGCTTACTCTATGATACTTACATTGCTGCTGTGTTGCTATCGTAATTTTTAATGTACAGTAAGGAATATTTCACTCATTTCGTTAATTGATTCTAAGAGAATAGTTGAAGACTAAAGAGGTGTAAATTGGTTTAGTCTAGTGTATTCTAAAGAGATAAAGCAAATTATGTGATATAGTATATAATTAAAAGCAGTTGGTAACGTCAAAGATTTATAGCCGATAGTCATGTTTACCTACTCTGTTTCTTACAACAACTAGGTTCTAAGAAATTGTATAAACAACGATACTTATAACAAATGATGCAGAAAAAACTAGAATTTAAGGAACCGTATATTACATTTGTTTATGTTGTAAATTTTCATTGTAAAGCTTTAGCACTCATGGGGTTTAACGTACAAATTTTCGTGAATAAGTTATTTACGATGTTTCGTTTGAAAGTTTTGTGCTCAATTCTGTGAAAATGTGTGAAATGTTTATGTGCCAAGTCGTCAAACTAAAAACAAAAAAATTGTTTACGTCCTCTCATTTGAAAAATATGATCTGGCAGTATGGCTTGGACTCCGTAGCCTCCCCTGAAAGACAAATAATTTTACTACTCATTTGAAAAAGTACACGATCTCTTAAAGCGCAGTATGACTATTATTGCAGGATTCGTTGTCATTATACCGAAACAAGGCATTTCTAAGACTTCAATAATCCAAACTACTTTTTTACTTCCAGAAGTCATGCATTAAAAATGTATGTCTTTTATATACAGGGTTATTTTTAAAATACGAATACCCTCACAGGACCATATTACTAAATCATAACCAACAACTTTTGTTCCATGACTTTTAGTACCTAATACATCAGATTTTACTTTCATACAAAAATAAATAGATTTAAATAGATCCCTCTAAATGGTAATAACTATCGACAGTAATAACTCTGTGCAGGATGGGGGTGGGAATCGTCGCGAAGGACGCTTGCACGTTTGAAATTATTTTACCAAATACAAATCTAAAAAGTATCAGATAATACAGCAAAAATTTAAAAGTTTATTTTTGGTAAGTTTGTTTTCTAAAAAGTCATGGAGCGAAAGTTGTTGTTTATGATGTCTGTAATATAGTCCCGCGAGGTTGTTAGTATTTTAAAAATAACCCTGTATATTGTTTGTTCATTGAAAGTAATCCAGTTACATATAACGTGCGTAAAATTAGATATAAACCAGAGAATTATTAAAGTGTTTTTTCCTCTTCGATGACGTAGAGAAATCTGTGCTATAACCTATATTTTACGTTCCTCGACGCACTGTCAGTAACACTGCGTGATGACTTCACATTATGCGGACAGCTGCGACTGTTTTTGTAGTTATATTTAATGCGCACGCAATTTTTCGTGATAAACGATCTTATGCACTACATAGGATGTTGTAAAACTTCGAAAAGGCTGGCTTGTTATATTTTTAACTGACTTCGAAATAAAGAGGAGGTTCTCAATTCGACTGTATGTTTTTTGTATGTATGTGACGCGATAACTCCGCCATTTGTGAACCCATTTTGATTATTCTTTTTTTGTTGGAAAGAGGGTACCTTAGAAGTGGTCCCATTTAAATTTGAAAAAAATATTCCACCAATAAGGGTGGTAAACTAGGGGACGAATGACTTTTGAGGTCGGTTTCTTACTCTGTACCGAGGTTACGTTATGTTACATTCTTAACTAAACCGTTATGCTATAATATAAATAAATACACATTTTTGTACTTATATATGTTACGCAATAACTCCGTTGTATATCCGCGATGACGATTTATACGTATGTGAACCAATTATGATGACTTTTTTGTTGGAAAGAGGGTACCTCAGTATTGATCCCATTTAAATTTGAAGGAAATATTCCACCTCTAAGGGTGGCAAACCAGCGGATGAATCCGGTTTCGCGCATTTTCCACCAACCGATAAAACTTGGCAAATACATGTAATTCCACGAACTTTTGAAGTCGATTTTTTTTCATGTTGCGGAATATTCTTGTACTAATTTCTTATAGTAATATAATAAAAAAAAGCCAAAAGGTTTGGCCTACCTACCGCCTGCGCCTCTCAAGAAGAGGCCGTGGGTTCGAATCCGGACTCGTCTCTGAGATTTTCGGAATATACATATGTGCAAAATTTAATTTTAAATTTACCATGAGATTTTCGGTGAAGGAAAACGTGATGAAACCTGCACGTCGAAGAAGGTTCACAACCATCGGAAAACGTGTGAACTCCCCAACCTGCATTGAGCCTGCGTAAATAAAACCCTCGCCTAAGAGGAGATTCATTAGATCAGATCAGATTCATAAATGGGTTGTTGATGACGGTGAATTTCTTATACATATGAACATTGATATCAAAATACAATACAAGCGCATAAATAGTAAATTGTCAATTTGTAAATTAATTAATGTAAATTAATATTAAAGTTACAAACGCATTTTTCAAGGCGAGACTTTTATTAAAGCATATTCAGTGGAAACGAAAATTGTATTACGTGATGTCAATCAAAATTGGTATTTATTACCGTAAAACTAGCGGCCCCATCTCAAATTTCAATGTAACTTGTCTATTTGTTTTTTTTTCTAGTTAGCGAAAACGAAAATCACAAGTTTCATTATCATTGAACATGCTTATTACCAGCTTCGCCTGATATCATTTTTTTTATAGACTAAAATTAATAACTCCATAATTGCCATTTACAAGTTACTTTTGTGCTTTCGCCATATTGCGGAGTTATATATTAAGTTATACATATAGGCCGTCTGATGTGCACTGCCTTTTGTTTGTTTTGTGTGCAATAAAGAGGATGTGTAATTGCATTTTATTGAGAACACAAATGTTAACATAGGAAATGAAACTATTTTTCCGGATTTGAATCGCATATATTTGTTTTTTTTTTCAAACAAACCAACGTTTCGGGCCTTTTACAGATCCCATGGTCACGGTTGACTGAGGTGGTACAGTCTTCAACCAGTTACGTCTAATATTGATGCAAACCACCCTATTTTTTCACTATAGTTACAATAGTTATTAATTAAATACCTTAATTTTACAAAGAAAAATAGAAAAGAAAACATTCCAATTTACGCTACATTAAGTTTTACAAATTATTTTATTGAATGAATTTTTATTAACTTCAACTAAATAAACTAAAACATATTAATTAGTACTGTAGTCTTATGTCTGTTTGGGACTGACAGACTGCAGTACTAATTAATATGTTTTAGTTTATTCTAATTTCTATTATTCATTAATAATAAATTGAACTTAAAAAAAAATTCATTCAATAAAATAATTTGTAAAACTTAATGTATGTTTTCTTTGTAAAATTAAAAATAAGATATTTAATTAATAACTATTGTAACTATAGTGAAAAAAATAGGGTGGTTTGCATTAATATTAGACATAACTGGTTGAAGACTGTACCACCTCAGTCAACCGTGACCATGGTACCTGTAAAAGGCCCGAAATGTCCGTTTGTTTGAAAAAACAAATACACGCGATTTAAATCCGGAAAAATAGTTTCATTTCCTATGTGTAACAATTGCGAAAACTTAAGAACTCCATACAAATATTAACATCAAATGTTAATAAATAGTTACATAACAGAGTCAAAACATACCTAATTAGGTTACTAATTAGTAGAAAAGCAGTAGAGCTTCTTGTGAAAGAGTTCGTCCGGGAAAGTACTGCCACTGTATCTATTTTTGCCGCCAAGCATTAATGTGAGCGTACGTTTCGGTTTTGAAGCGTATGAGTGCTGAGGAACCAAGAGACGCAAGGAACTTGTTACCTTTATGTCTCAGTGTGAAGAGTGCAGTGCCAGTGCCCCTCAGGTCTTTGAGATCTAGAGCTGGTACTGCAACTGTTGTAGAAAGTTGTATCGCTTACCACCAGGTGCAGGTCTTGTTCGTCCCGTCACTTGATATCATAAAAATAAACCTGCCAACTGTTACCGTAATTATGCTAAATTAAACGGAGCTATAAAATATTCGTACATGTCTAATCGAGAACGACAGATAACACGATCGATTTGACATTAATGAGTAATGAATTTGTTTCTCTTAATTTATTTTGATTAAATTATGTGCTAATGAGTAGATTGAATTGAATGTTTAATGGTTCGTTTTAAATTTAAATGTTTATCAATGTATCAATTTTGCAGCCGTCGCCTGACGCTTTGTTCGTAATAGTAAACAACACAGTGCTCTTCAATACAATATATATTATTTAATGAAAACATAGAACATGAAATTTGCAAATATTTTTTTGTATCAAGGTACGTCCATTAAACTCAAGCCTTAGTATAAGATAAGAACGGTAACTCCATACAAACGTCGCAGTGCAATTTGTATGTATGCAAATGTGTGCGTCCGTACACAACACGCGGCGGGCGCAAATACATACAAGCCGCGCTGTTACATTTGTATAGAGTTACCACACTTGTTTTATTAACCGACTTCAAAAAAAGGAGGAGGTTCTCAATTTGTCTGTATGTTTTTTTTTTGTATGTATGTTACGATACGCGATAACTCCGCCATTTGTGAACCAATTTTACGCCATTAGTGAGTATCATACGTCATATAACTGCTGTAATGGCTGTACTCTTTTATTTGGTTGAATATTATTAGCTATCATCTATTAAAGCTGAATGTTAGGTTGTTTATCGTAAGGAAGTTATGATACGTGTATTATATGTTTAGTACTATTTTAAATAGGTAGTTCGAAATGTTGTTTATTACCTGAAAATGTTATGTATTTAGAAACATTTTCAAAAAGTTCATTATAATTTTACAAAAGTAACCAGGTAATGCCTCGTGAAATAATCCATTACGGTTTGTGCACATTTAGTTAAATACCTGTACCTTTGTAGTGTAGATAGATACAAGTTTACATTCGGCTTAGAATGTCACTTTCTTTGATGTAGGCTTTCCGAGCAGCATTAAGAAGACTGACACGAGGTGGCGTTGCGGGTGCAGGCGGCGCGGGAGGGGCAGCTCGGTTCGGCGCTGCGAGGCTTCTGGCTTCACGAGCTGACAAACGTCACTTGCTAAGGCAGGACGATCTCGTGCAACTGGTAAGTAAACGTTTATTTTTAAGTCAATTGTATTGTATTTGTTTCCTTTTTTGTTGCCCAATAAAGAATTTTTGTATTGTAAACAATGTGCAATCCATATTTACAATTCAATAGGAAATTTAACTCTGACCAATTATAGTAAAATGTATCTGAAGTACGGTGTTCGAGATCGCAACTAACGCAAGAAATTATTATTTAGACTGACGGTCTTTAGTATGTAGTTTATATAACTTGTAGCTATTGATGGTAGCGTATACGAATAGCCAAAAATACTAAGCTTATATGTATGACTAGCACGGAAGCTAGATCCAAAGGGGATTTGAATAACATTAGAGATCCACTCACCTCATGAAACTGGCCGCGTACTAGTGATGACGTCGGCGTCATCACTGGTACGCGGTACGTCGGTACTGGTACGACGCAATGCGGAAAATAGAAACTATTTGCACAGGCCTCTACTGTACACTCTAAAATGGTATTTGTGCGTAACCGACTTTAACTCAACTATTTTTTTTTAATTATTAATACAAATAACGAACACTTAGAAAAGATCCAGCCGAATGGATTTGAACCAGCGTCTTCTAGCCAACCGTGTTAGACGCTATGCCAACTAAGCCACGGAACGAACCAGCGGACCGGATGTGTTTGTTCCATATCTTTATTTTTGGTTTTTTAACGACTTTTTGCCGTAGCGCCATCTGTGAGAAAAATCTATTTCTTCACGCACTCAACTATTTTATAGCAGCAGTAGAACCCCTTGTGAAGGATTTCGTCCAGGGAAGTATTGCCACCTTATTTATTTCTGCTGCAAAGCAGTAATGCGGAACGGAACAGTAATGCTGACAAGCATTACTGTTCCGTTTTGAAGAGTTATGGGTGCTGGTGAAATTACACGCACATGGAACTTGTCACCTTATGTCTCAGGGTGACGGGCGCAGCCGAGTGGCACTGCAACTGTTATGGGCAGGCGTGTAGCTTACCATAAGGCGCACGACTTGTTCACGTGATATTAAAAAAATCTTCATCTATTTGTTTTTGTTTTAATTGATGAAAGCAGTTAATTTACGAAACTTTCCAAATACTCCTATTATCTACTCTGCAGAACACTCGTCCTGTATAAAGCAGGTAATTGATGCGATTATCTAATTTATTTTGTTTGTTTCGTAGGAGTTCAACCAATGCGGCGGTATCTCAAAATGCAAGCCTCGTCGCTTGTTGCTGCTCAACGACCTCGTGGTGTGCGTGTCAGTGGGCGCGGGCGGCGACGACGCCGAGCGGCTGGGCCTTAAGTGGGCTCATCCCGTGCAAGATGTGGAAGTCCTCGACACTGGGACTTCACCCACGCTCAGCCGAGTGCTCGCTCAAGGTAAGTTCAAAGAATTTCAATTTTCTTCCTTTTAAGATTATAATTTTGATCTGTATAACAACGCCCTTCGTAGTCAGTAAATTTTGTTGGCGGATTCACCTTCAATATTATCTGGTCTATGTACACAGGCGCTTTCTGCAAAACAATGAATTTACCAAAAATATTTTTTTAAGTTTTTGTTGTACTGTCTGACTCTTTTTAGATCTGTATTAGGTAGTAAAGTTCAAACGTCCCCCGACGACCCCCATTCCCGCTCCTGCATTTTGCATATGTGTATTTACTTTAATACTTTATTTTGCTACCGCACAGAGTTATCGCCTTTTAGAGCAATCTATTTTTTTTATTTTCATTTTTCTATTTATGTAAAACCTGATGGATTATTAAAGCCATGAAACAAAAATTGTTGTTTATGTGTCAGTAATATGGCCCTGGAAGGTTGTTAGCATTTTACAAATTTTCTCTTACCTCGCCTCCTTTAGATGCTGTTTATCAAACTTTTATGTCGCACAACGTGGTTTTCCTGCACGTTTAATATAAAAGGAATGCTTAAAAAAGTATTAAACTCTGTTAATAGAATGGTTCTCTTTTATAGGAATGAACCGCAGCGGTAGCCTGCGGTCAAATTCTAGTAGCAGCGGGCACAGCAACACGTCGACCGGGGACTCTCTATGCAACGAAATGTCAGCGCTAATGCACGACTACGAAACTGTATCGCGTATTGCTGACTTGGCCGCTTCGCTCAAGACCCCCTACGCCGAACTCGCCCCTGAGATGTTTAGAGCGCTATTGCAGAATATACAGAAGAGTATACAGGTATAAGCGCTTATACAATTACAATACTTTGATTTTATAATAAAATATATTACTGTTTTCAAGACAAATAAATGAGTTTATTATTATATTACTATCGACCTTGGCAATCCAACTTGGTGGTTGAATTATTAATTTAAGGAATGAATTTTTGAAATCTAGACTCTCTTTAAAAGCTTTTGCGCGCAGATTTCTAATGAGAAAAAAAGCCTTTCAGAGCTAATGAGGTGAAAAATATATTTACAGTCTTATGCAAAATTGCAAGTTATGTCTTTGTTGTAAGGGACATGTGTATTCTATTGTAATAAATCATCATAGTCCAATAGTCATAATGCTTCATTGGTTGAAAAAACGAAATAGAATTATTTGTTTCATATTTTCATTTTCACGATGTTACTATTTAAAATACTTTATCTGGCCATAATATTATCATTCGGCAAAAACATATTTATCGTTACAACAATTTTCTAAACAATTGCTATAAAAGTATTATTTCGTGGTCGTAAAACATTACGTAAATACGTACGTTACGTATTATCGTTATAAAATTACATTTCGAACATTGTTACAACGTTTTTGAAAAATTTCACATAGAGATACCTTTTCAAACTAAAACAAGTTGAAGTCAACTTTAAAATTTAATTATGTTTTTACAGAAAAAAGATGACGAAATGGCATGGGTAGACTCATGCTGTTTACAACTAACAATCCGCGGTCGCGAGGAGCCCGTGACGTTCCGCGCCAGCGAGCCCGGCGCTCGTCTTGCGTGGGCCACAGAGTTGCGATTGGCGCAACTAGCGCAGGCGTCAGCAAATTCCCCCGCATGGCGGCTGCCCGCACCGCAACAGGCACCTGCGCATAAAATGCCTCTCTTCGTCGCTGCTACACCTGTGTATTCTTCTAAACATTTGACTGAGGTATGTGCAATTTTTATATTCTGAGTAAGAGCTCGTTGATGTTTTAAACACAATCGAAATTATGTAACAATTCTTTTTATTAAATCTCGATTGTGATAACAGCTGGCACTACAATATTACTGTTACGTTACATCACATATGTAGGCAGACACTCTGCACATTTTTTTAAAGTTTAGTCATATATAGAGATGGGATTTTACCCGATAGATACCCGTCAAAGGATAAATATCCGTTTTTACTGAGTGTTTATCCTAAAACATGGATAATAATTTTTTTGCGTTTTTTATAATAAAATTCATTAGAATATTTTTTTTATTAAATAATTACGTACGATTACTTTTCATAACTGCTGTTTTAGTACCTACGTTTTTCGAGTCTATAATATGTTACTAACTGCGCGAACATGCCCTTGTAACGTTCAAAAGCGAGTATTACAGGCGGTGAGCCGAGCGATATCTTTCTATTGAGTATTTCTCCCAATGATATTTATCCATGACCCACTTCTAGTCATATAATAAATAAATTAGAAATAAATACAGTTTATTTCTCGTTCCACAAAAAACTAAAACTATGAACTTACTAAAAAAACTTACAAAACAGAGTACTTTTGTGGAAGCCTGGAGTCTAAACTAAATCAAAAGATTTGTATTTTAGGTGTCCAGTAGGGGTAGCACAACAGGGCGCCACTAGCGCGAGAGCGACATAAAGCGCGAGATACTGCTTATCTGGCATAGAGATCTCGCACCTTAATGTCGCTCTTGCGCAAGTCGCGTCTTATCGTGCTAGCGCTACAGGCCTCCCAACTCAGATTATAGATTATATTATTTTAGTAGCAGAAGAGCTCCTTGTGAAAGAGTTCGTCCAGGGAAGTACTGCCACCTTACCTATTTCTGCCGCCAAGCAGTAATGTCAGCATTACTGTGTTCCGGTTTTGGAGGGTAAGGATACTGGTGAAATTATAGGCACGTGAGACTTGTCAACTTATGTCTCAGATCTTTGCGATTTTAGGCTCTGAGTGGCACTGCAACTGTTATGGACAGGCGTGTAGATCAGGCGCACGACTTGATCGTACCGTTGTTCTTGATATTATAAAAAAACGTACTTAAACTCTGAATAAATGACAAGGATGGTGACGGTAAGATCAGCGCCTTGGTATTGAGATAATAAATCATTATTATTAGGTGCGGTGCGGTTGCTTCTACACGTCGTCGGGTAGTCCGCGCGGTGCGTCGATGCGTCGCGCGCGTTCTCTGCTGTGGCTGTGCGCGGCGGGCAGCGGCGACAGTCACGTGGCCGTGCTCACACATCGCGCCGCCAAACTGAAGACACTCGTCACGCTCGACCTGCCTGACACCAAGGTATTTTTCTCAAACATATTCGGAAATGTTTGCATTACTTTCAAAAAACGAACACGGAAAGTGTGTCATTTATGGACCAATGGAAAGTAAGTATGAAAACCCATTACTGTCCTCTTCTCTAAACTTTTAAATCTACCTACTAACAATGAACTATGTAAAGAGGCAAAAGAAAAACTCATGCAGCCAACTGCCCAGTGTTCATAATTGCGAGAATTAAAAATACCTACCTGTACCACTCATTTACAAAAAAAGAAAATGGCGGTAACATTTAAATTGTTTTGGTATTCTTTTGTTTTTTCGTCGTTTTTGTATTTTGTTCACGGAAAGGAGTGTTAGTGAGAAGAGCGATAACGAAAATACAGTAATAGATTCACATTCAAACACATCATCAGAAGGTCATCAGATTAGTATTATTAATGTGCCAGGAAAATCAATAACATTTTCTTTTAGCAATTGTCCTAGCATGTCAAATATTACTTTTAATATTAATTAATTTTTTTTTTCTTTTTCTAAAACATTTTTTTCTCTATAGTCTTTTATTATTTCCTCACATTGTTTGAGAAAAATTCTATACATCCCTCGGCGAGAACAGGGATTGCTTGACTCGTATTAATACAAGGCCTCGCTGTCGCTCGTCCTTGTAACTCATACTCGTCCAGCAATTCCTTACTTCCCGGCCTCTGCAATAATGTACTATAACGTCATGCATTATGTAAACACTCTTTGATGCATTTCCTTTTGTTACAACATAAAGAAGGAATCTATAATAATAATAACGCGCACACACTCATAGCCCCACTAAGGAAACCCTGTATCGCGGGTGCCATGGACACACATATACAACCACAAATTACATCCAAAGTCACGAGATAAATAAATGTAGGCCATACAAATATTTCTCCCAGCCCGGGAATCGAACCCGGGACCTCTTGCGTGGCAGTCTAATATGTTACCATATTCTTACGTTCTGCCATGGAGGGAGTTAGAGTTATGTATATATTATACTATTTTTAGTTTAAAAAAATTCGTTGTAGATTGTACACAACGTTGATGAGAAAAAGGGAATTAACAAATCAAAAATCCGAATTTTGAAATAAATCAGTGCGCCATCTTGAAAATATGGCTCTTAGCAGAAAAACTGCGTGTCAAACATCATCCCTTCATCATTCATTTTCTCTGTGTATGGCTTACGTTAGTCAATATAGCTTTCAGCTCTTGGGTTTCCCAGCCAGTTAATAAATTTTTTTTTTATCATTAATTTTTGTAGCCGTCGTTGCTTCTCAATTTAGAGGTAGATAATTCGAATCCTTGTGGCGGCATAATGTACCTTTAATTTCTAAGTTATATATGTGTGTGTATGTATATATATATATATATATTATATATTTATATGAAATATTTATTTATTGAATATCATGTTTTATTCCATGACTTCCATATATTTTTGTGATACAAAGACCAAACATAAAGCTCAGTTGATTAAGAGCGGTGGACCCGGTATGACAACAAACACTAGTTCGAGTCCAGTCAGATCAAAGGATTTTTTCTTTGTATCATTAATAATTTGGTTACTTACTACAACCTAATACGAAAATTATTTCTTACAATAATTATTACTATAATAATTACATCCATGATGTTCCGTTCCAGGTGACGTCAATGGAGTATGCAAAAGGAGTTCGACAAGTGACCACGCTGTGCGGCGACACAGTATGGCTCGGCACCGAAGACAAAAAAATTATCATATTCTCCGGGGTCGAACCAGAAAAGCAAGAAAAACTGATTGAAGTTCCCACCATAGCAGCGGTTACGCAAATACGGTACCATTGTGATTCAATGTTCGTGGGACTTTCCAACGGTAGAGTTTCAGTATACAGAAGGAACCACGACGACTCTTGGGCTTTACAAGAACCATTAGCTATCGAACTCGGCGATAAACCGGTTCACTGCGTTCTACCAGTCGACGGAATCATCTATGCTACTTGCGCGAAGAGAGTATTCGCCATCAACGCCCTCACGGCTGAAATTATGCGCATATTAGAGTTAAAAGGCGAAGGCGACCGCTCAGTTAAGTACTTGGCCCATTCAGGTGTCGGTTTGTGGACAGCATTCTCAGACTCCACTTATGTGAGTCTGTATCATGCTGAGACTTTTGAACATCTTCAAAATATTGATATCGCTGCCGATGTTGCCAAAACCATCGGCGCCAGAGAAGGCAGTAAACCCGCTTACGTATCGACATTATTAGCTGGTCAAGGCTTGCTCTGGGTCGGTACGACAGCTGGTGTCACAGTCACAGTGCCACTGCCAAAACTTGAAGGCTTGCCGTTGATCGGAGGCCACATCGCTGTATCATATCACGCTCACGCAGGCCCAGTCACGTTCCTACTCTCTCTGTTGCCAGAATCTCGTGAAGTTGACGTCAATGTAGTACGCAGGAATCTTTCAAATGTCCGCGCACTGGCAGAGACCACTCATGAAGAAGAAACAAAGGAAGATGATAAACCAAAACTAGAGAGACGGATATCGGAAGAACTAAGTCCATACCGACCACAACGAGTGCAGTCCGCCGTTGTGCGTCGTAAGAAACCAGGAGACGTTCGACTCAGTAAGACTTTACCAAAATGTGCCAACCTGAACGCCTGTGACGTTTATGGCCTTTTTGGCGATCTGATGTTCGTCAAAGACTGCGTGGGCGAGGCAGACGTGAACGGCTCAGGAGGAGAAGCGCTACGGCGCAGCGACCCGGAACTTGCTGCAATTCCATTCAGAGTGAGCACTTTGGACAGACGTCTACGGATGCGAGCGGGACGACCGAGAAGTTTAGATTTATCGAGCTGGTCCGTTGATTCTCGCGCCTCCAGTCTTTGCACATCCTCCGGTAGCGAAGAGTCGATGGCACTACGAGGCGTGTCACGGACGAGTTCAGGCGCGTCTGGCGCCGCGAACCTTGCGCCTGTTGCCGCTTCCACCCCGGAATCTTCTTCCGGTAAATCATCGGCTTCCGAGAGATCTATATCTCGTAGCGATTCAGCGAATGCTCCGGAGAAAAAGACTGCATCTAAGAGTGTAGCAAGGAGCCTCCGAGGCGCCGACTATATAGTAGGAGAAAGCGCAGTGCGCCGCTCCGTAGTCACCGTAATGGGTGGACGAGGCTACGTGGATTGGAGACAGACCGCCGAAGCATCGGAAAGGCCTGCACCAGCTGCTGAACCCAACCCGAAAGACGCGCACCTCATTCTATGGGAGATGCGATTGTGACCAACTTTATGACGTAACAAGACTACACGCGTAACTATTTACGTGACAGAATATTCTGGACGGCAGATCCTCTATATACCACGGATCCATTACATGTGTCATAGTGATGTAGCCCAATCGGGTTGCTTGTACATAGCCGTACGTAGACTGTAAACACATATGTATATTCCACGTTTAAGGGGCTATTATTATTTAGTATACAATAGAATTATTATACTAAAAAACTAAACTATAGCACGACTTTTTGTACTGATAATATTCGTGGAGACATAATACATACGTATTTACTTGGGTAAAGATTTACACTGAGTGTAAATTATGTGATAAGCTTTAAATTATTTTTCTAATGGGGCTTTTGGCCGAATGTTTACATTGGTGTATTGTATGATATAAAGGCGCTGGTGCATTATATTGTGATCGTTTTTATAAAAGTTATAATAAAATTTGAGAATAATGAGAACATTTATTATACAATTACGTTGATTTAACCGTAACACTCTACAAAGATGTTAAATATTAAATTTTTTGCCGAAAGTAGCTTACGATACACACTATGACCGCAAAAACCGTTCTCAACAGCTAAGATATTTTATTATGAATAATAATCCGCCATATTAACTTAGTGTTATGTTTGTAAATTTGTAATTAATCATATACTTACTTATTTTTATGTTCTCGTAATGGTTATTATTAAGTTTCAGTTGTTACTGTGTAACTATAAACTAACATGAAATCAGTGGCCTTATTTCTCATAAATTTCCCAGTGTGATTATAAGCTCTTGGTTAAGCTTTATTATTAGATGTAATGTCGCTTTAAGAATTTAGACTGATTTAGTGTAAGCGTTAATTAAACGTATTATTAGTTGAATTCTAGTGAATTAAGACGATTTACGACATTTCGAACGAATACTAGTTTTTTCTCATAAATCAAAGGCTGACAATTCAAACCTTGCCCTTTTGCGCAATTTTTCAAGTTATTTCCTCTATCGACAACACGAAAATTAGGCAAAAGTAAATGCTATTATTCCGCTTAACGGTAGCCAACAGACTTATGGCTGATTTACACGTATTATGTTACAAAGATATAAAGTAAGTTTTAACTAAATATCATAATTTTAAATAATCTAACGTTTACTTGTCTTTTAATGAAGCTATAACGACTTGACATTTTGCAAAATAAAGCTTAACCCACCACATTCAATCACTAACACCACAGCTGTTAAGTGATTGTTTCCACCCTTTAAATTTAGTTAATCACATCGTCACTTAGTACGTGTAAACCAGCAATTAGGTCAGTGTCTAGTTTTGTAAAATTGTTTAGTAACCAACCATTAAAAAAAATATATGTTAACACTAGCCCCACCAATTCAAATAACTTGTCAGCCTTTACAAAACAAGTCGCTTGGGTTTTTTAATCTAATTATTTGTAAAATTAAATTATCTCAAATGAAAACACTATTTTACACTGTAAAACCTCTGATTGTTTATGTAACCTGTACACGTTTGAATGTGTTACGTACACCTGTGCACATTTAAATCCGTTGTTTACGCAACCTGTACACATTTGAATGTGTTACATACATCTGTGCAGATTTAAATCCGTTGTTTGGGTAACCTGTGTATGTGTTACATACACTTGTGCACATTTGAATCCAAAGCTCTATTAAATTTTATACAATGTTGAATCTCTAAAAATAGTTTATTTTTGTGACAAAACTATGTTTTCAAGTCAATGTATTATCTGTTATACTAGGCAGACTTTCGAGTAACGCCTCAGTAATGCAGCGGTTGAACTCCAGTCATCATGTTCTCGAATGTTCGGTGCTCGAATGGTCACTTACATTTTCGTAGTGGATACATGATATTGCATATTATTGACACCACTAAAGCGTTGCACGAAATTCCACCCTAAAAATTGTTAAATTTGTCTGTGTCACAATGTTATTTTGGTCAGTAATAACAATTTCGACTCATCCGAAGAACAGAGTCCGATGTGATTATACAGCGACAAGAGAATAAGTACGTTAAGAGAATAATTTAGTTATTCAAACTAAGGCCTATGAAAAGGTGTTTCGACAATTTATGTACCTTATTTCGTTTCGGAAATATAAAATCGAACAACAGTCGATCTGACATCCACAGCGAAGAAGGAACGAACGAAATGTACTTTGTCCTGAGAACAAGTACTCTTGCACATAGATCTTTGTTCTACGGATGTGTCGATTTGTTCCGCACAAATCCAAAGAATCAGAAATCGTACAAAATAGTTGTCATCTAATTCTGTGGCACTAATTAAGATAATTTTATTACTCTAAATTGCCAATGAATCCTTTTAATTCTAAATATGCTGTAGAATTGACATTATTGAAAAAAAAAACAAGTACTTTTTGTAATATGTTGTGTTGTATAGTGCCAAATTACAAAAACCAGTTTTGTATTATGTTGTGTATAAATCGTAAAAATAGATTCATTTCATGGTGAAAAAAAAAAAACATTTCTTCATCATTTCAAACTTTTTCTAGCAAAATATATGCCGCAAATGTATTTTTATTAACTATCTATTCTATACGAGTATATTATTATATTAAAACGAAACGAACTCGAATCACTGTTACTATGTCGAAAGCTCCAGTTTTGTTTAAACTGAATTTATTAAAGTTTACATTATTTATACTACAACGTGTCACAATTGTATGTACTAAGGTGTAAATAAATTTTATGTTTATATATACACACCTGTAATTACGTATTTTATTTGAAAGACCTGCCCTTATTCTATTAGTCAAAAACAAACGCGTGAAATGATTTGAGTGTTTATTAATATTCGCTATTTGGTTGATGGATGCTTGGAGGGCTGATTGTCTTGAAGTGAATAGGTGCTGCTAGGGTAGCTCTGGAAATAACGTCATTTATTATGATCCCCTTGAAATTGCAATGATCTCAATGATCTGTTTTTTTAATATATAATAATTGACGGGACGAACAAGTCGTGCGCCTGATGGTAAGCTACACGCCTGTCCATGACAGTTGTAGTAGCACTCAACTCTTTAAATCGCAAATATCTGAGGCGCACTGCCGCTGCGTACGTCACCTTGAGACATAAATTGACAAATCCCGTGTGCCTGTAATTTCACCAGCACTTCAAAACCAGAACACAGAAATGCTGACATTACTGCTTGGCGGCAGAAATAGATAAGGTGGCATTTCTTCCCTGGACGAACTCTTTTACAAAGAGCTTTAGTGCTACTAAAACCGTTTTTCGTACTGTCGAACAGTAAGTATGCAACACACGTAAATATGTGACCTCACGAACTCCTACTGATCAGTACCAATTTGACATTACTTTGAGGCATTTTCCAGTGCACACATGTAAAAGTTATGGGCCAATCTCGCAAAATAAATTCTCATAATAAAACAGGAATCAATAAAGGCACTTACTATTCCGCCATTTACATTCTTTTAAAGCTTCATTGAATGCCCGACAGTCTTCCAATTCATTGTGGGTAGTCGCGCAGTGCAAGAATTGGGCTATTTCATATGCGCAAGGTCCCGAAGGAGGAGCACCGACTTGGTAGTCACGTGGCATGGCTGTATACACTTCTCGCTCATAACGTTGCCCGTTGCCGCCGAATAATCTACTTATCGCATTTGACGCTATGTTGCCCTGTGAAGAAAAAGTCACCTGTACCTTTTTCTACTATAACAGATTATACACAAAAAATTTAAAATAAAAACTGCATTTGATTAAAAACAAATATACAAAAATGGCGCTACGGCTAAAAAGTCGTTGACAAACTAAATACAAAGATCCGTACAACTAGCACATAGAAAAATTCGTGAGGTCCGCTGGTTCGTTCCGTGGCTTAGTTGGCATTGCGTCTGACACGGTTGCTAGAAGACATCGGTTCGAATCCGGCCAGATCGAAGGTATTAATAATTATAACAAACTAGTGGAGTAATTTCACAAAAAATAATTGAATACCAATTCATAACAAATTTAATGAATATACCATGGACCTATACTTAAACATATAGGTCCATGAAATATACAAACAGTTTAAGGCTGCTAACAGATGGTCTGCAGTTAGAGCCTGCAGTCGTGGTCAACTTCAACGGCAGGCGTGGTGGTCGATTTGAACGATAGTCCGAGAATCGACAGCTTTGATAATACACTATATTTGAGACGAAAGCATAAATTGGCATTCTTATGAGGACATTTGAGTTTTTGTCTGAAGCAACTTAATTTTTAGTAGTAAAGGTAACGATTACTTCAGGGTTTAATCTACATACATAATGGTAAAACAAAAATACAATATGAAACTTCTGAACGGATTATTTGACATTTGCACAATCGAGTTCTTAGGTTTTCGCGATTGTTACACATAGGAAGTTATATATAACTGGTTGAAGACTGTACCACCTCAGTCAACCGTGACCATGGGACCTGTAAAGGGCCCGAAACGTCGGTTTGTTTGAAAAAACAAATATACGCGATTTAAATCCGGAAAAATAGTTTCATTTCCTATTTGCACAATTCTATAATTTTTTGTAATGGCACCTTTGCTTACATTTTTGATCGCTAATACCACCGCAAAGTCTAGTTGGCTATTAAGGACATGAGTTTGTTGACAAATTAAAATGGAAGATTTCGATAGTAATATGTTTATTTTCTTAACAGATATTAAGGTCAGTATTTTGAATCATAAATGTTCAGAATACAGTCATAGTCCATTTCGACATCAACGAATACTCTGCTCCTGAATTAGGCGCGTGGCGCGATAACTGCTTGCATTGCAATCAGTGTCGAATGCAGGCGGTTTTGCGGTTTTATATCGGTGTACATACAGATTTCGCATAAGCAGTTCGTCTGGTAACAGCCTATGTCGCATAGAAAATTAATATCATAAAAATACTGTTTCGAAATGCTACTAATCTGTAGATTTGACAGGTTCGTCGCTAAATTCAAATAGAATAACCGTTAACTGCAATATATGTGACAATGATCCAAACAATGTACTAACAAGTTAATAAGACTAAACCGAGTCCATAACGTTCATACCATAGTTGTGCCCACTGTGACACCGCCGGCGACTGCTGCCGCGTCCCTGAAGATGGAGCGGCGTGGCATCGGCGTAACGATCATAGTGGGCGTATGGGCTGGCGAACGTGCCATATTGCGATTATACCCTCCCCTGCTTAACAGAAGGAACATTAGATATAACGTACTTTTCCCAGTACATAATAAAATTTTGTATTGGTCTTATTATAATTAGAAACGTTTACATTCTCGTGTAGACTTCCCAATGTACGCAGAATTATTGATTAAATCTACGTACACTAATGAGTGGTTGGGAGAATTCGAATATAAAAAAATGCAGATGACATATCCGTTAACACCAGCAACGCTAATACAGCTAACATGTTCACCAATGATTGAGTCTCTAAAGAGAAACCTGGTGAAAAGTGTTAGATACTGTACTAATAGTTGATTTTATTTAAATTTCTATAAGTAAATAACAATTAGGTCAGTAAGAACTTCTGTAAGGATATCATTACGCGCTGGTAAACATTTTCCATGGAATGGACTGTCTGATGAGTAATGTATACCACTCCTTAAAAGAGTTAAAAGACCTTTCCTCATTCAATACATCAATGAAATAACAATAACCTTATAATAAAATAAAGGTAATATACACTGTAAAAGGATTTATTGAATTTCACTTAGGAGGCTATTTATCGCGTTCGATGCTTAGTAGGCAACATAATATTCAGCAGGTGATCAGCTTTAAAATTATTGCTAAGCTATTCTTTGCGTTTTTTTTTTTGCTTGGAGGACTGTTTTTTGACAATACAATTCAGTTGCGATGTTGTCAGCCATTAAAGGAGATGCTAGGGTATACCTGAAAATAACAAAAATTACATTAAAAGAAATTGTCTCCACACTCAAAAACACGGCAACTAATATAGCGCTTTTTGCACAGATTTTTATGAATACCTGTTATTATTTTATTTTATATTTTATAATTGCCTCCGTGGCCGAACGGTTATCATGCTGGACTGCCACGCAGAGGTCCCAGGTTCGATTCTCGGGCCGGGAGAAACATTCGTATGGCCTACATTTATTTCTCTCGTCGGTTTGGGTGTAATTTGTGGTTATCATGTGTGTATTCATGGCACCTATGACGCGGGGTTTCCCAAGTGCTGGGCTAGGTTGAGTGTGTGCGTTATTATTTTATTATTTTGTTTAGGATTAGCGCCATCTAGCCATATTAGGAAGGTTCATTTATAAATTAGTTTGTAACACATGCCATCTATTGAGACATATATTTATAAAAATTCAGAAAATAATTTTAGCTCATGATCAATACCATCAAATTTAATAATTACAAGGAAAAGAACTGACCTCTTATATTTCATATTAATTGACATCTACGGTTATTTACATAACATAAACTACTTCCAGGCTATTGATGTTTATAGTATGGAGATTAGCAAAATCCTCTTTTGTTATTGGTCCATGGTATAAGTTAAGGGCAACTATACCAGTAGTTAGGAACAAGTTGGGTACCTACCTTTTTGATAATAAAGAAAAAAATACATTCAATTATTCTGTTTCATTGGAGTTACCAATGTCTGTGGGAGTTACTGATTGAAGTTATGTGGGCTTACCGCTCACAATATCCTTACCATTGGTATAAGAAAGCCACAAACCTCAAAAGTGTTTTTATCAGATGAGTCCATTGACCTATGAGTCTTATAAATAATTCGAACTACGTGAAACAAATGAAGTTAAATTTTACTCCTATTTAAAAATAAAAAGATATCGAGTAATTTCATTCGTAGAATCCATTGGTCGAATCTTTAAAACTCTCTACTGACAAGGTGTAATTTTCCAGATACGGCCTTATATACTAGGTGTTGTTATATAAAGGTGCAATACAATAAACCAATTAAATTATGTGTATAATTTAGGGTTCGGTATGCAATGAAAGCATCCACATCTCAGTTTCTAAGGGTCATTTTTAAGAGGAATTCGATTTAAATGTAGGAACCCGAAACTTAAGTTACTCTTCATGCAATGTAATTTGTGAATAATGTTGTTGATTGTACGTGTACTTATTTTTAGATTTTCTCAACACTGAATGTAAACATAGGTACCATGTTACAATTGTTTGTTATAATAATATCTGAAAAATATATAAATAAATTATAATGGCAAATGATGAAGAAGATGATGAAATGTTGTTTTGGGTTTTTTTTAAATAATATTATACGGGACGAACAATTCGTGCGCCTGATGGTGAGCTACACGCCTGTCCATAACAGTTGCAGTGCCACTCAGAACTTTAAATCGCAAAGATCTGAGGGGCACTGCCACTGCGCCCCTCACCCTGAGACCATAAGTTGACAAGTCCCATCTGCCTGTAATTTCACCAGCACCCTTGCCCTTAAAAACCGGAACACAGTAGGTAATCTGACATTACTGCTTGGCGGCAGAAATAGGTAAGGTTTGGTTTTTCCTAACGCCCCCAAATAGTAAAAGTAATTTAATTACTCATAACCATAACACGTTTTTTTGGAAAGTTACTATTTTCAATACAAATTTTCAATACCGCATGGGATCGCACTCCATCGAAAAAATAACCTGTCGCGTTGGATTTTTTTTCTTTTGGCCTAGTAATTTTTGCAGATAAAAAGGATGATTAAACGCTGTAATAATAGATTAAAGAGACACTCACGGTTCCGCCATTTACATTCTTTCAAAGCTTCATTGAAAGCCTGGCATTCATTCAACTCAGTGCGAATACTCGCACATTGCAAGAATTGTGCTATTTCATATGCGCAGGGCCCCGAAGGCGGAGTACCGACTTGGTAGTCACGTGGCAGAGTGTTGTACACCTCTTCTCTATATCGCCCGCCGAATAAACTCGACAGCGCATTTGACGCTATGTTACCCTGGTAAAAATGATAGTAGGTAAATGGAAAATCTACTATCAGCAAAAAGAGTCTTATTCTTCTTGCATTAACTTCAATTTATATTGCCACAGAACGGAAGCGTCAATTTCACCTCGTTACTCGAGAAGGAGCGTGCAGTTCCGGGAGTGCTCGAGCATTCGTGAGAATTCTCGCGACTGCGCCTTGAGGCTATAGCAGGTGTTCAGTTGTTCAGTCTAAATCGTTTACATGACAAGTATGGTGGACTTGGATATTGCTTATTGTGAAGCAGGACAAGAAAAGGAAAATGAATTTTTGGGTTCATTTCATATTTCTTTTTTATTTATTTACAACTTACAGTTATCATTACATGTTTATACCTAATGCTATAGTGTCGACGACAAGCCTTACTTAATGACCTTTAATTTGGATAATAGCAAACTTAATGACTACCTACTTAAAAATTATTATTATTATGATAGCACAAAACCCACAAAGCCGCTTTTACGAATTCGTTCAATGAACGAGAAAATAAGTATATCCGCGTCCCGAACGTTGCGTAACCTAAATGGGTGCTTCTTTTAACAAGTTCGTGCGTGCTCGCGGTAACGCGAATAGAGGAGGCTGTCGCCGCCGTCATACGTATTGGTCCGGTGCACACAGCCCCACCAAATGCAACTCTGGTGGGTTGGATACCCACTCACGCAATAGCATAAATAAATACTTAGCCAAACTTAAGTCTCTTCTGACTTCCATTTTGTTGTAACCCATCATGCCGAACACGAACAAAGTAGGATACATTAATGGGTAGAACGGGTACACACCATATAGTTTAAGATATAGAAAACCTATACTTTTTTCGTGTGGACTCCATATAAATGCTTTGCATTCCAAGTGACTTTTTACAAGTGCTTCATACAAAACTCTCACTAATTATATGGTCCGGAAGTTCAGATCAGAAGCGAAATTAACTCCGAGATCTCTCATCTCAGTTACACGTTGTTCAAGGGTTCCATCCACACAGTACGGGAATTGTTCAGGCCGCCGCGATAGGGTAAATGATATTATAGAGCACTTCGCAACATTAAAATACAATTTATTTCTATGACTCCATTGGACTACCCTATCATTTCTTGTATGGAAGAAACGTAAGCCATTTGGACCGAGTGAAACATTTTGCAACAATTTATACTCTATTCACCCATTTTTCATGACTATTATAAAATGGACTATGATAAATTTGGTAAGTTGGTGTATTTTACATAAGGCGCACTATAAGTTTCCGGAACTGGCCACTTACATAAACAATATTTAAAAAGTATTTACATTTGAAAATAGAACTCTTTGGCTGTAGAATACAGTTTGTTTTATCTGACTGTCACTTGTTTTTACAATGTGACGTCATTTTAGAAATTGGTTGTCTACGTTACCATGGATTTAACTCGTAAAAATTTTCGTAGTATGATTTTCTACGACTTTAAGCGTAATCGAACAGCTCAGCCGAGCTTCGCTCGGCTTCAAACTGCTTTTGGCGATGAAGCACTGTGCAAGACGGCTATTATAGCTGGTTTGCAGAATTCAAACGCGGTTGTGTGAATCTCAGTGACGAATTTCGTGATAGTCGCCCGTCCACTGCTGTGAACAACAAAAACATCGATGCTGTGCGCCGTATGATCAAAACTCGATCAAAAATTCGCATAAGATCAACTACGCTGTTTGGCAAAGTTGGCGATTCCCTTCAGGAGAGGTATTTGTAAATGTCAAGTAAAATTTTAATTTGAAAATAATAAAATAGTGGTGTATAACGGTCATACCATAGTTGTGCCCACGGTGACGCCGCCAGCGACTGCCGCCGCGTCTCCAAAGATGGAACGGCGTGGCATAGGCGTTATGATCATAGCGAGGCTACAACCCCAAAATGGCACACGCACCAACCCATGCGTGCGTGTGCCATTTTGGGGTTGTAGCCTCGGCTGAGTAACAGTAGGTCTATTAAATATAATTGAAAACTTCACTACGCCCACAAAGATTTTTTTTAAATGACTGCTATTATTTAATTAGATAATATAGGTATAATACATCATATTAGTATGTACTAGAGCAGAATTTCAATAGTGTATAATCCATAAAAAATACGGTCACGACTGTATCACGGCGGCATGACAAATGTTCATGAAGGGCATGCCACGTTATCCTAGATTTCTATAGAAATGTTTAGTTTTTATTGTTTGTAAACAGGTTAACTAACTCCTTTATTTTATCGACTTCTCTTATTTTTTTATTGGTCGATTGCTGTACACACTGGAAATTAACTATTTTATTTTCGGACCAAATAAAAAAAACAACAAAAAAACAAATGTACGCTATTTGTTTTTTCTAACAAACGTATGCTTAAAGCTTTTTTACAGTAACCATGGTCACTAGAGAGATAAGTTTAAGGAAATTAACATTCTTACACTAGCCTCACAGTACATTTATGAAAATGTAATTTATGTTAAAAGGAATAGTTCGTCATGAAAAATAGTGACAAACATAACATTAATACGAGGAATAAAAATAAACTAGCTTTTCTTGATAGTCGTCTTCACAAAGTCAAAAAATCATTTAAGAGGCAATGTATACACTTCTATAACAAGATTCCGGTTGATATACAAAATTTGCCTTTCACGAGGTTTAAAACTATAGTGAAACAAAAACTTTATACTAAAGGTTGTATTACAACTTCTGCGTACTTGGATGACAAAAATCCATGGTAGTAACCCGTTTATCTCATGGAGGTAGTCTCGATCTCTGATGTTTCAAATATATATATATATATATATATATTGTAAATGTTGAATGTGTAGAAATGTTATTTACAAAGAGCAACCCCTGAAGTTTCTTGCTCATTCTTCTCAGGCGAATCTGCCTTATGAATGAGCGGTAGAGTTTAACGATTGTGACGATTTTAAGTGTAATAATGCTTACCTATGAAATAAAGATTATTTTGAATTTGAATTGAATTAGATGAAAAAAAAATAGTTTAATTTCTTAGAGTAACAAATATTACACTACACACATGAACTGTACAAATGTATTTTCTGAAGTCATTGTATGATGTGATGAATGAATGAAAGAAAGTCTACATCGCTCGAGACATTACAAGAAACAATACTCTTTGAAGAAACTCGATGACAAGAAACTATCACGTAAATGTGTCAATATTGACTGCCCACTCTGGTGATGGCGAACTTCCAAGTTTGAATCACTATACTTTTGTTTTAGGTAGGTATACCACCATCATCATTTACCTCTGAGGTCTAGTGATGATAGTAAGTTGTATCTCATAACATGTGGCAGTTGCATTTCAAAAGAGATTCATACCCGCGAAGATCGCGACGTTCACACGCTTTACACATTGGAGTATAGGTATATTTCTTTCCCTTTACATTGTCGTCTAGGTGCAGTCGAGTCTGAAATGTTAACATCAATATTCTGACAATTCAAAAAACATTTCCTCTATTCCCACTAGTTCATTTGTCCAATTCAGTAGACTGAACTAATGAGATATTTCTTGTAAAAGATATGCGTGCAAACATGCAATGATTATGGTTACAGCTTGGTATTGAATGAGTTAAGGAGTCCGTCAGGATGGCTGGACCAAACGAAATATACAAATCGAACCGTGCTCATTATTTACTACCTATTTTCTTACCTTTCTTGACATTGCTAACGGAAATATTAAAGAAATAAAGCGGCCAGCCATTCCGACGTCAGGTTGGCTGACCACTTTACGTTTTTATGGTTCTAGCAGTATATAATTCACTTTTTTTTATATAACTATTTACTACCTAATTTCTACCCAAACATAGTTTTTTTCTCACTATTTTAGGAAGCTTCTATAAAAAGTTATATAAAAAAATAATAAAACTCCTTTGCAAAAGTTATCTTCTAAAAAGACAGTTTATCTTCTCCGTGTAATTACTAATAATACTTATTCAGGCACTTAGAATACGCCAACGATGGTTTCTGGACATCGAGTATATAACCAGAAATAGAGACGAAATGAGGGCCATATATTCCTGGTAACACATTAGCGATACAGCTCTTATAAATATCAACTCTCGTTTGCACTGTGTCGACGTCTCCGTATATTCCAAAAAACATTCTGTATTTATTGTAATAAAGATAATATCTCTAATGCCGTGCTGTTCTATTCGATGGTGTGGAAAAACATCAAAACATCTAATTACAAAACGAACGGAATCACATTTCATCGGTAATTAAATATTAAATATGTAATTTTGCAATTTTCGTCCAACTGGTCGATTTGAAGTGAAACAGTTGACGACACCCGTCAATTGTTTCGAACTCGGGCTGGCCAATCAGAGCGCAGTTGTCACAGTAAAGATATGGCAGAATAGTTTTCAAACAAATAAATGACATTTCGTCTCTATTTCTGGTTATATACTCGATGTTTCGGGATTCTCTTTGCAAGCAATATGTTTTTACATATTATTTTTTATTATATTATTTAGTACCAGTTGAATTCACTATTACAAATGCAAAATTCCATTTGTAGGTATTAAGGAACGAATTACAATCAGTTAATTAATCGTTTAGTTGTTATTTACTATCAAATAAGAAAAAAATAGAAGTACCGCTAATATTTTAACCAATCAGGAGGCAGTAGAGCGTTTAACTAGTGACATATTGACATTTTAATTACCAAAAGACGACGTTCTTTTATTGGAATATTCTAAGGGCCTGAAAAAGTATTATTAGCAATTAATTGCATGGAGAAGATAAATTGTCTTTCTAGAAGATAATTTTTGCAAAATTTTTTTCAATAACTTTTTATAGGCAGAAATTAGATAGTAAATAGTTATAGAGTTCTTAGGTTTTCGCGATTGTTACATATAGGAAATGAAACTATTTTTTCGGATTTAAATCGCGTATATTTGTTTTTTCAAATAAACCGACGTTTCGGGCCCTTTACAGGTCCCATGGTCACGGCGAAAACCTAAGAACTCTTTGTTTGTTTGAAAAAACAAATATACGCGAATTAAATCCGGAAAAATAAATTCATTTCCTATAGTAAATATTTATATAAAAAAGTAAATTTTATACTGCTAGAATCATGAAAAACGTAAATCGGTCCGAGGCGTATTTCAAATACTTTTGCGTGCACCTGTACAATTTCCGGTTTTTTGAGAATCTGTCTTCATGAGAATCCGTCTTCTTGAGAATCCGTCCTATTGAGAATCTGTCCTTATGAGAATAAAGGGGTCAGCCAACCTTAGAATGGCTAGACACTTTATTTCTTTAATATTTCTGTTAGCGCTAAGGTAGAAAATATGTATAACAAAGGTACTAAATAGCAGAAAATAGGTAGTAAATAATGAGCACAGTCCGATTTGTGTATCTCGTTTGGTCCAGCCATCCTAACAGACACCGAGTTAAGCCGGGTGACTTAACATTATCATATTAAAAATAAAACCAAACCAACAGTACTTTCAGACTCAACTCTAGAAAAAATATATTGTTATATGTGTCTGCTACTGCTAAATGTAAATAGTTATTTTTGATACAAGTGCGGAAAGTTAGTCATTATTCACGAATCACGAGGCATCTTGGCCCGAGCCAGAGGCGAGAGCAAGACTCGAGATAAGTGAAAATGACAAATCCGCATGTGTATCAAACAACGTTTTTTAATACATTTGCGAAAAACCTACATTGAAAGTAAAATAAAACAGTATTTAAAAAAAACCTCTTTTTATTCCTTACAGTTCGAGAACGTAAGGCATAAGTACGTTTTCCGAGAATGAAACCGTTTTGTTTTCTAGCTTCCAGTCTATAAACTGATCATAGACGTCTGTGTATTTATCTTTCGATTTATCCGGTAAAGTACTATTGCTTGCTATTAATGCTTTTGCACGTATATCTAGTGATGTTAAATCTACAATACACTCGTCGGAATCACTCATTTTTTGCATAAATAATATTGTCAATTCTTTCTTTAGTAGTCAATAACAAAATCAAATCGTAAAAAAGTTAATGAAAAAAGCGGGAATGTAAACGATGAAAAAAATTAGTACTTTTTTTGGCCGACTTTTTTCAATATGGCAACTGTTGCCAGTATTCAGCCACATTAAAATTACTATTTTATACATTGACTTACAATTATAAGTCAATGATTTTATATTACTTTATTTTCTACATAATCGCTACTAAGGAGCATTTACTTCATAGGTGTAAAAATGCGGTCTCTCCATAGATATAGTATAGTAATGACGAATGACTTACGTCACAAAGCACATAAATATGAAATAAATATACAATCTCTTTAGTTCTATGTTTAAGATTTTTTTTTATTAAGGCTTTGGCAAAGCCATCAGCCTAAACATGAAGTTTAATTATGTTTCTGTAATTATATGGCCGCCGCCACAAAGAGGATAGGCAATTTGAGGCGGCGTGCTTGGATTGACTCGGGATTCCTTAAAACGGGCCGATACGGGTATTTTAGTTCGAGATTCGTATAATTTCGCGTTTTAATCTTCGATTAAGGCACAATAGCAATATCCTATTCCACTTTAAACTAGATTTCACAAAATAATTGAAAGTCAAAATAAAAACGACACTTTTCCCTCCAAAAGTTCCAGAGCGAATGCTATGTTTAAAACTTAAAACAACAATAATTAAAAAAAAAACTGGAAAGTAAAAAGCACTAGTGCGAGAAATCCAACTTTCCGCACGATTTGTAGTGCGTTAAAAATACCACGTTTTGAGCAACTGTATTAAAAAAGATTAATTATCAACATAAAATAAAACACTGTTTGGTTGATTTGTTTTTTATTGTCAATGTGTATATTATAAATTTATTGCACTACTTAAAAATATGTAAACAAAAGGGGATAACTTCAATAAATCATTCTACATCACAATAGAATTATCTTAAATATAATCTAAGCGCACTAAAATTTTTTTTTCTAAAAATAAACTATAAAGAATGGGCAATTCAATTTCCACTATGAAAAGTCATAAATAATAACTACTAGGAAGATGCCGTTTTTTGCAACTGAACAAAAATGTTCTCAAGTTGAGTTGGATGGCTGAGGATGCATACTTCCTGTACAACTCAAATAAGGAATTTTGTATGGTGTAATATATCATGATTCTTCAGATGTTATTTGCAAAAATTAGGATACGGCAGCCTTGTTGTCTAGTTCAGGTGGTTGTTGACTTTGCACTGACGTAGTGCCTCATTGAAGCCTTCACAAAGTGAGAGATCGCTTTGCTGTGATGCACATTGAAGGAACTGTTGAATTTCCCAGGCACAGGGGCCTTGCGGTTGTTGGCCTTGGTGCTGATTATAGGTGGTCTGTGCTGGCTGCTGTTGCGGTGCTGGCTCACTGCTACCTCCACTGAACATACTCGTCAGAGCACTACCAGCCACGTGCCCCTGAAAGAATAAATACATTATTTATTGTATGTCATGCAAATAACTAGTAATTCCTTGATTAACTTGTTCATTGCCGTGGTAAGTCAAAATTACCAGCTTGAGAGACTTAGGGTCGTATTCTAGAACTCTATTCAATGCTCAAGTCAAGATTGCACTGGCAACACAAGCACTGGAAATATGACCCTAATGGCAGGGACTTGAGTATGATTTGGAGTGCTTTAAACCATACTCAAATCCTGACTTGAGCATTGAGTAGAGTTCTAGAATACGAGCCTTAATTTTGCATTGCCCGTCCATCCTGCAGGCGGTTAACGCTATGCATATGTATAGCCTATAACTGTTGCCACTTGGTTTTCATGAGTTTTGATGGCACACCTACATTTCTAAACTTAGAAGAAAATTATTTTCTAATCAATGAGGTTTTCTAATAAACAAAAATTGATTTTAATTTCAAACTTAATTTAAAAATTACAAACCAAGCAAAAAATGGTTACTGTGAAATGTCAAAAAAATCAAAAGGTATGTAAATTTTAGGTAAACACCGATTGAAAATGATGTATATGGACTCTGCCTGACATTGTGAACAGCGCGGCTTAAACGTAATATTTAAGAATTACAAATATGTAATATATAATATAATAACAGAAATATTGTGAAAAAACTTGTATACACATACAAATGAGACCAAAAACAATTGTTTATGCCAATGTCAATTTTTGAAAATTCTAGCCGACAATGAATGTGTTAATATCAGCCATTGACTTACAAATAAATGGACGACGGGTCTAATACAAAAACCACGAAAAAAAGGCCCAAGTCAACCTATTCGAAATTTAAATTGTAATATCATCGCAGTATCGCGCTGTCACTAGAACAAATGAAGACTAAAGCGGAGTGTGGCGCTCTGTATACGATTTTAGCGCCTTACAAGTGCGGACACTTTTTAGCGCGGACCTGACGTCCATATAATTGTAAGTCAATGATATCAGCAGAGCTTTGACAGGTGATGTTTAAACATTGATTACACTATTACATGAATAACTGGCAAGCTATGATAATTTTACATAAGGACCATGCCTCAAAACATAGGTTTTCTTACCAATCATGGGCTCTGAGACATTACAGTATGGAGTCTGCACATTATTTGTAAACAAAGAGAAGAAATGTCATAAAACTTGCCATTTTAGAGATAGGAATACTAATATATGTTAAAACGCAAAATTGTTGTGCAAAACATATTTACTTTTAATCTAAGAAAAACAGTACAGTGTCATGATAAAACATCACACGTGATATCTTGTCACTTGGCTCTTTGCCATTGTTAGTACAAAGCTACAAAATTTCACAAGATATTCCAATATTACAGAAGCGGTGTTTGCTGCTGACAAATATTAATTTGTAAAATATTAATGCAAGGCCAAAGTGCAATGGAGTTTACGTTATGTAATAAACTACGCACCACCGCCGATCCTACAGCCACTCCGCCAGCAGTTGCTGCCATCTGACCAAACATCGACGGTTGCTGTGATTGGGCCTGCACTGGAGCCGGGGCAGAAGGAGGCGCATGAGCTGGTACATTGCGCGTCGGTGGTGGAGCAGCTCTGAAAATTTCACCAGAGGTTATATTCCTCATGTGATAGATACAAGACAACCAAAAATCGATAGCAATGTCCAGTAATTACCTTCGCGGAGGTGCCGGCGGGGGACTTGCAGAACGTCCTCGTCGTGGCATGATTATAGGCACAGACACAAATTCACGAAAATTCTTAACGCACGTAACAATCGAAACCGTTTATCTTCCTTGTCAATGGTCAACTGACGTCTGATCTGACTAATAGTTTGGCTTGAATTGAATGAGTGAAGGTCTTTTCTAGAAGTATTTAAATTCAGAACACATTTTCTATCTCACTTGTTCTCGTTCTATACACTGTGAAAAACAAAGATAGAACTCACAAGATAGCCAACATAACGGCCAATAGGAATGAACGGAATTCTAAAGATGCGTTCAAATTAATTATCTATCTTACTAAATGAGTGATTTAAAGCGAATTAACAGCAAAAGGAAACGCTCCAAACACTAAAAATATCGGATAATCTCCAGTCAAAGCAATATTCATACTGCAGACAGGGAGCAAATAAATTATAGTAGTGTTTATCAGAGTATTATATTGGATTAAAAAATCCTGGCTCGACATTACTAATAAAAACCACAAAAAATAATAAAATTACTATCTTAAAACAAATAAAATTTATGTCCATTACTTTAACTGGTAAACTCACCGGTAAATATGCTATAGAAATAAATAAACCTTAAGGTAGGTCTTAGGATAAACCAGTAAAAACACAATTTATAACGGGATGAAACAACAAGCAGAGGTGGATGGGTAAGAATAATGATAACTATAATTGAAGTCTTTGGGTAACAATGAAGTGAAGATACCTTGTCCGTTTAAATATAGGATGCTGAAACCTGGTTACTGACTGATTCGCATAAGGTCAGTCTGCCAAAGAGCAATGAAGAGAAAATTTTTGGGGTAGATACTTTATCACACAGAATATCAGAATTGCCGAAATGTGAGCAAAAACACACGCACACCATTATTATCTGGACACCAGCAGGCTTAGCATGAGCCCTAAGACAAAAGTTATCTCTTCTTCGAGCTGTCAATTTTCTCTCGAAAATCTCTTCTTTGACAGTTCGAAGAAGAGATAACTTTTGTCTTTGGGCTCATGCTAAGCCTGCAGGAGATGGTAATGGACAACACACGTGACAAGCATATTTGAACAAATTGGGAATGTTAAACCAGTGGCAAATGGAAGTAGTAACAGGAAGTAGAGAACTTTGCTCTAAAGTGCGACGTGGAAGTAAGAAAAAAATGTACAATTTTTGGAAATAAAGCTACAAAGCTTTATTTTGGATAATATTGATACATTACAAAGTAAGTCGACGTATTGATAGTAATTGCAGAGTTCAAAAAAAACCGATGTAATAATAAAACACTATATACTATTTAAATAGGTAAATTAATGTTACGATACTGACTTTCGAAAGTAAAAAGTATAAACGATACTAAGAGTAGTAATTATTTCAATTGTAGGCCTATAAATCAGTTTTACCTTCAATAATAAATAAAAAGTATTTACCGACGCGACATAGAACCAGGTGAAACTATTATGCAATTGTAGAAGTTTTGGGTTATTGTGATTTTTGCGTGGTTATCTGACGAGTGAGTTTATGTAACTGACGGATGTTTTGCTGATTGTCAAAACCAGAAACTAATTTTATTGGCCAGTTAATTCGATGAGATGTATGAACATGAAAAAAAAAGTTCAGTCTAGGCTTAAATGGTTACTTTAGGAAATTTAACATTAAAAAAATATATATATATATTAACTAGGTACTGTAGATAGAAGCAAGGAGCGCTTTTTAATATTTATTTGCGATATACTGAATCAGTTCTTTTGACTCAGTGAACTGCTCTATGCTTCACTACTTGACGTCAGACAGGTATTTTGACAGTAGGAACGAAACTCATCTGCGAGCGAGCTCTGCTTTGCTTGCTACTTTGCGCGCTATTCAATTCGCTTCGTCCAATCAATTCAGTTATTGTGATTTTGCGGCCGCGTGATCGTAGCTGCCGTCATTATCATTTTTGTGGAGGTATTTTGCTAAGATTTTTGAGTGAAAATGGGCGACATAGCAGCCGGTCTGGAGCCGAACTTGCTCTTCATAGCCGGGACCACGCTAATTTCAATTGTAATACTGCTCTTCTCTTACAAAATCATCTTTGGAAACAAGAAAAAGGAAGCCGTAAAAGATCAAGCAGAGAGCGATACAGGTAAAAAATGTGTGAATTTAGCATTATATAGCGATAGAAATATTGGACATTGAGAGTCCCTGCCGGCGTTTTGTTAGATGTAAGAAGTTGGTAGGTCGAATCACATGTGCATTCGCGCGCCTTGGGTCAAGCCCCCATGTGTTCGGTGTAGCGGTCCTCGCCCCCATGTGAACGGACGCTAAGCTTATAACCGTTTTAATGAAGATGACACATTTATAGCAATGAATCATATTTTAGAATGAAACTCAGCTTTCACAGTCATAAATAGATGTTACACTTGAGCAATTAGAAATGTCCTTATAGTATTAATGTGCACATTAGATGTTTTACAGAGATGCTAATAAAAAAATAATTACACATTTATTTTCAATATGTTTACCAAACGGAATAAGTAATTAAATTTGTCTTTACAATATGTACTATTTATTATTACATTTTCTAAACAGTATTTATTTTTTAAATGGTTGCCATATACATATATAGCAACCATTAAAAAAAAAGTAGGTAGGTAAATAAAAAAATATATTATTTCCATATACCCATATTTTTCTGTACATTTACTTAATACAACATTTTGATTCTTAAATTGGAAAGAGTGCAATATCATAATGTTTCAATTTTGCATAATTATGACAAGGCACAGTTGTACAAATATTATTGAATGTCATATCTTTGTATGTACAAAACCAAAAACCTGGTTTCAAAATGTGTAAACATGTGCTATAATTCTCATTGAATAATAATAATACAAAGAATTACATTAATAATTTTTATTGTTAAGTAAATTTTTTATGGCTTATAATAAAATTTATACAATAAATTGAAGTGTAGGACAATAATTCGGGTATAAAACACTGCTTCCTTGTTGGCCTTTGAATGTGCATGCTTTTATATTATACATATATATTCTTTTAGAGGAGAACATGGTAATCAAAATCAAAATTTAATAGTACAAAATTATAAGTAATGTATCTTTAACAATGTAATGTATTTGTTTGGTTTTTTATCTGATTTTTATTTTGCTCACTATTACTTAGTAGAATAAATAAAAACGCTAGGCAATATACATGTATGTATGTACTTAACTACATCTAAAATCGTAGTTTTTATTGCTAAATTTGTATTAGTAAATACAAATTAACAAGCAAGTGATGTTTTGTTTATATGTATAGATTATTTGATTTAAAAAAAATGGCACTTTACATTATAGAAATGTTTCCTTAAACAAACAAAGACATATAAACCCTTAATGTTACAGATTCTATTAAATACAAAATTTCAATTTGTCTCAGTCTGTATCAAGTGTTTGTGGTATATTTTTGATTTAATTTATGATCAGCATTTATAAATCGTATATATTGTAAACCTTAATTATATATGTTTATTAGATTGTTAAAAGCCTATTATTTACATTTTTCTTTGCCTATATACTTAAAAAAAACAAATGTTATGAATGTAGTAAGATGTATCTTTCCATATTATTTATTATCGGTCTCCATTCTTATGTACCTTGCCTATTTTTGTGTATTGCATTGTTTAAAATGTTACCTATGCAATAAGAACAAAATTGGTGGTATACCTTCTATGAATCAAACGAAAATGGGACAATACACAATATTGTAAATAAATTTGACATTCATCTAAAGTATCTTCCACATTCCACATAAGAGTTAAAGTGTATGTAGACAAAACGGAATAAAAAGTACACAGTGAGTATAAATGAATAAAAACCATTTGAATTTTGACGCCCTCCGTGGCCTTCAAGGGCAAACGAAGACCAAGAAATCGATATATTGCGTGAAACATCATATTTATTCTAAAGGAGTAAACGAGGTGACGGGTGAGCTAAACCATGAGATAAGAACAGGAAGAACGATTCGTGTACTGATAACTCGAAAAAGATAGTTGTAAATAATTATAACTTTTTTATTTAATGATCTCAGTACAGAGTACTAAAAAAACCGACCTCAAAAGTACGTGGAATTACATATAATTACCAAGTTTTATTGAAATCGGTTATCGGAAAGTGCGCAAATCCGGATTCATCCCCTAGTTCGCCACTATACGGGACTTGACACAGGAGATAATAAAAATCGGTTCTCACTACTCAAAGTATATTGAGAGAGAAACGCCTTGAATTGGAGAATAGCAAAATTAACCATTAAAATAATTGCTCCTTATAATAAAATTTAGGCGCTATTTCTAAAAATAAAAATCTTCATACGTGAACAGCCACCGTTAGACGTGGATGATTTTCTTCAAAATTAAATAGGACCACTATGAAGGTACTGTAGACTGTAGCGTAGTTTAGAATGCCTAGCGAGAGGTACTTTATGAATATAAACTGGGATAATCTTCAAAAACTTGGTATTTATTGTACTTTTTACATATTTTCTTACTGAGGTTACATCTCGAACTCTCAAGACGTTCTATTCTTTCTAAACTCCTATTTCAAAACAAATTCTAAATATAAAACTATATTCACCCAGCCAGAAATTCCACTCATAGAGTAAAGCCTAGACTACAGTACCCTCTTTCCAACACAAAAAGAATCATCAAAATCGGTTCACAAATACCGGAGTTATCGCGTAACATACATACAAAAAAAACATACAGTGGAATTGAGAACCTCCTCCTTTTTTTGAAGTCGGTTAAAAATACCGACCTTAAAAGTTCGTGGAATTACATCTATTTGCCAAGTTTTTGTGAAATTGGTTACCGGAAAGTGCGCAAAACCGGATTCATTCCTTAGTTTGCCACCCTGAGAGAAGGAATGTTTTCTTCAAATTTAAATAGGACCAATATTGAGGTACCCTCTTTCCAACAAAAACAGAATCATTGAAACTGGTTCACATTTGTGAACGGCATTTCGGCATTTGCCGATGATTATGAGTCAAAAAAGATACAGTCGAATTGAGAACCACCTCTTTTTTTTAATCGGTTAAGAAATGAGTACCACGGCTAAGGTTCAAAACACGCCAGCTTGTTATACTATTGTTTTTTTTTTCTAAAAGTAAGGTTTGAGTCAGTTCATTTTCATACTCTATTTCTAAATTTTATGTTCACGACGTTTGTTACAAAAATACTTTGGCAAAGGCGAGATGCAAAACTGTATGCTGCCGTACGTCAATCTCACTGTTCTGCCATTGCGACGCACTTTCACTCGGCGCACAAAGCCGTGCATTATCTTGCGTAACCGTCGCTTTAGTAGCTAACTTTCAAGATTCTAGAGGCACTTAATTTTGTATGCCATTGGTATTTTTGAAATGGCACATATATTATATCGTTTATACAATAGTAGAGTTCCTTGTGAAAGAGTTCGACCAGGGAACTATTGCCACCTTACCTGTTTTTGCTGCCAAGCAGTAATGTGAGCATTACTGCGCTCCGGTTTTGAAATTTCAATTTCAATGCTGGTGAAATTACAGGCACATGGGACTTGTCAACTTATGTCTTAGGGTGACGGGCGCCGGGGCAATGCCCCTCAGATCACGACTTGTTGGTCACCACTCACTTGATATAAAAAAAAAAGTATTGATCGCGTTATGGTGTTTTCGTAACCTAATTCTATCCAATATCAAACTAGACACCTTTTTATTGGGTCGCACTGACATTTTACGGTACTACATTATTGATCAGTACGACAATTGGGTAAGCAAGAAATTAGAAGTTAGTCCATTGTAAAAAGTAACATTTTGTTTTTCATTGGACTGAATTTTTTGGAGATTCATTTATTAATAAATTATTAAAAAATTATAAAAATTAATATATAAAAATTAATTATTAAATTCGAAAGTAAAGAAGCCAAATAATCTTTATTACAGAAGTAAGTGTCGATATTCCCAGGATTCGAACGAAGCGTTTCGCTTCCACATTTATATGGCGAGCGGCTAGAGAGTGGAATTCCCTACCTGCGGACTTACTCCCCGAACTCTATAACTTGGACATTTTCAAGGCGAGAATGAATAGGCATTGCTTAGGTGTGCATGCTGCATCGTCGACCTCATCATCATCTTTCCATCAGGTGAGATGGAGGTCAAATAAACACTCTTTTTATATATATATATAAAGCAAATTTCATTTGACATCGCCGTACTGTTTAAACTCTACTGCTCATTCGTAAGGCAGAAATATATATTTGAATACATTTATCGTTAGAATATTTAATTTTTAAACATCTTAGATCGAGACTACCTGTAAGAGCTAAACGAGTCACTACCACGGATTTTTGTCATACAAGTACGCAAAAGCTGTATAATAACCTTTACTAAAAAGTATTTGTTTTTATTTATTGTTATTCGTTTATGGATTGTACTGTGACGTTAGTGTAAGAATGTTAATCTCTTTAAACTTATCTCACTCTGGGGCCCGGGATTGTAAATTGCCCTAACCATACGTTTCTGCAGGACAAAAATTCTATTAATATCGGCGGCATACCCCAAAGCAAAATGCCGTATGTCATTAAACTGTGAAAGTATCTGAAGTAAACCAATCTGTTTCTATGTGTTTAATAAAATTAAATAAATTTTATGCTACGTATACTTTAAATACTTAATAAAATTGTACCTGTGCCGCTGCCATAAGTTTTCAGTAACAGCTAGCGACTTCGTAACATATTTGCATTCAAAATGTTACTTCTCGTTGTGACCGCTAGGAGCGCTGTACAATTTTTCATACAAAAGTGTGAAGTAAATTAAGCGGTCGCTAGAGACAACTGTCTCTATAATCTCATGGTAGAGGTATTGATGTGTACTATACAAGCAATAACGCCCAGTTGCAAGATGTGTCTCTGATCATTCTTCCTGACCCAAAAAATCTTTCGTATCTTTTACAAATTCAAATTTAAAATTCAAAATTGTTTATTAAAGACTACATAGGTCCATGGTGTTAGTACATTACAAGAAACGCCTTCAACTATGTTAGTATTAATTTTACATAATAATAATACAATAATAAAATAAAATAATAATAATTAAATAATACAAAACCAGTTCAAAATAATAATTTGCCAGAATCATCCATCATCAACCCATTTAATTATACGTCCCACTGCTAGTCACGATAACTTATCACAAACTCGAAATTCTTTTTTTCCGAAATAACGTTTATTCGAATTTTCATTACACCGAAAACAGAATTGTAACGAAACCGTTGTTCTTTCAACATATGTTTGATGTTTATCGCAAAGACACGATTAGGATCGGTTAGGTTAGGTTTAAAAGAAAAAACATTTACCTCTCAAAATTACTTTCGAGCTTATGAAAATTCGAGCAAACGTTATTTCTGGAAAATGTAGTAAATTCGGTCTTCTGATAGGTAACCGCTAGTCGCGGGTCTCCTCTCAGGCGAGGGTTTAGGTTAGTGGTTAGGGACTTCACACGTTTTCCGAGGGTTGTGAACCTTCTACGTGTACGTTTTATCACGATGTTTTCCTTCACCGAAAAGCTCGTAAATTTCAAATTGAATTTCGCACATAGATTCCGAGAACGTCAGAGGTGCGTGCACGGATTCGAAACCACAGCCTCTGCTTGGTAGGTCAAACCATATACTACCACGTGTAATTATTTAATAATTAGTATTCATGCTAAAAATAACAACAATTTTAATAGTGCTGCTATTTAGTGTTAATTTAGTCCTAACTTACGAACTCTCTTCTGAGAGAAGATCATGTCATGAACCGAATGGTAATTTTCAAATACCCATTTTAACTAAAGTGCTTGTAGTTCAATGAATCGTTAAGTAGTGAATAAAAAATCACATTTCGCGAAATTGCCATACCCAACGAAACACGGTGCAAGATAAGGCACGTTATACACATAATAAAGGAAACTTATTTTTCATTTATACTGAAGCGGTAGTATGAGTACGTACAATTAGTCATTAAGCGTAAATACAAACCGTATCGGTTTTACGCGCAATATAATGTACATGCACATATTGTACATACCATTGTATACATTGATTCATATAAATAACTTTGAAGCGTAGTGTGTACATCGTTAAGTAATGAAACTAGGCGTGTATTAGTTTTTTCAAACAAACCAACGTTTCGGGCCATTTACAGTCAGCCATAACCTTTAGACCTGTATAAGGCCCGAAATGCAGGTTTGTTTAAAAAATTAAATATACGCGATGTACAGCTGAAAAAATAGTTTTTTTCTTTTGAGTAACTATCACAAAAACGTACGCACACGATACCTACTATTATTTATAAAACTCTTACGAGATGGATTACGGGCGATAAACTAGACCGGGTAAATCATGAACAGCATGGGAACTGTAACAAAAGACGTTTCAAATTTGAAAAGTGAAAAAGGGAATAATTCTTTCTAGCACTATGTTAAATTATTTAAATTTTTCGCATCATTCATCAACACATTCATTTCCGTTACCTACTAACAGCCATAAAATATTTTGGAATATTGAGCAATATTGATTCATATTGATTCTTATTCGCTGAGGATGCAGTTTTTCAGTCTTTATACATTATGATGTTAGCTTACCACGTGTCAATATGCGGGTAATAAGTTTACAAAATTAGACAGTTAATAACGATAAAGTGATAAGAATTTGTAGTCATGAATTAAAATTGTTAATTACGTATTAATAATTGGGTAGTAAAAGTATTATAAGCAATCATCAGTAGATGCAAATATTTCTAGTATGACACTGTAAACGATAAATACATTTAGAATGTAACATATTTTTTTAAAGATTACTATTGCAATAAAAAGTAATATCAGGAGACATTTAAGCTACTTGTATAATCCCTGCGCGTGACAGCTAAGGGTTTTACATATGAAAACGACAGCTTACAACACTAGGCCAGCTACTAAACAAATATCGTAGTAATATTCTTTTTCCGGTTTCTGAAATCGCATTCCTTTTGCTATATTTGAGAAAAAATACAATAAAGAATTTTATTATTATCCCTTGAAAACATACTCTGCATACCGAATTCCATTTAAATTTTGATATAATTTTAATGCAATGTTTCAGGATCTCCTACGGAAGAACAAGTACGGGAAACTGCGACTGAGAACCGTTCCAGCGCGAAGAGCAAGAAACGCGCCCCGTGGAAAAGCAAGACTGAGTTTGCTCATCCCTGGCTGTTGAAAAATCTAAAAGGACACCCAGGGACTGTCCTGATGGTCGACTTTTCGGCGAACGGGAAGTTTATGGCCGCTACCTGTGATGGTAAGTGTCAGCTCTTACTTTCATCAGCAGATTTTTCATAGATCACGGCAGCAACAATTGACTCTTGAGAAAATCGTTCACTTTTCCATTATTCTTAGAGGAATCACCTTTACAAATGAGGTTTATTGCATTTGCTTATCTTTGAATAAATTGGAGATTGAGTTAACCCAAACAACCACTTGTGGGGAAGCGATGAGATTAAAAAATCTTGCGTGAAGAGAGATTAATACAGGGTGTGCCAAAAAGTGCGGCCATATCAACTAGTCATCGTGCTCAGGATAAGAAACAGTTTTTATCAGAAATACCATTAAATTCGCATTAACAATTTTTGCGTCCTACACATGATCAATTGGGCGCCAAAATAGTATTTATATTTAGAGAACCGGTTTTTTTTCTTTTTTTCTTTTTACAAAGTTGGTTGCTATTTCAAGTACGACCTCGACTGCTATAACATTTTTCAGTCATTTTTGTTGTACAAGGGTATACAAGAAATTATTTGATAAATGTTCTTGTTGTCACTTTCATCATCGCAGATTTTTTGCTCTTCGCAGATTATATTGCTCGTAATCTTGATATCAACTGCCGCTGCCGCGTTTTTTGGGAAATCTACTATTTTATATCTTTTTTTATACTAGAGAATACTTTAAAGCTTACTGGAATGAAATTGTTATAATGGCAACATCACCTAGTTATTTCCAGTCGACATTGTCGCGTACTACTTGAATTTTTCCTTCCTATAACTTTTCCTCATCCGCTCTATGATTCTTGTCCTGTTGAATTGTTGAAAACCACTGTTACCGTGTTATTTTTTTAAGTTTATTATGGCCATTATAGCAATTACCTATGGCGCGAGAATTGGAATCCAATATAAAGGCTGACAAAGATGTCAATCTTCGTAATTTTGCGCAATATTAAACAGCTAATTTTTTTTATAGCTAATTCTTCCATTCATTCATGTTAATTCTACTAATGACACCACGGGCATTTATCTCAAAAGCGCACTGCATTTGTCAACAAAAATTTTCAGCCTTTATATATACAGTAGTATTTTTGTAATTGTATGACTTCTGTCGCCATCTAAAAGCGAGATTACATTTATTAAAACATTATTAACACGTGTGTTAGTTTGAAATTAAATAATTGTAGCACGTATTTGTTGTAAGTACATTCAGTAATCTCATAGTTTTTGTCGCAACAGCTCGGCCCCAGTTTTCCGTGAATTTTTAAAATCTAATTTTAATCTTACATACTTAAATATGTATTGCAGTTTCAGATAATACCACGGGTATTACGCAACAGAATTTAACACGTAAAAAACCGGGGCTTAGTTAATTAATATTATGTGTAACTGTGATAACACCGTGTGAACTCATTGCCCTCTTAATGTTATTAAAAAATATTTGAAAGCCATATTCACATGTACGTCTTTTGTTAATATTTTGAGAGCAGTGTGTTCACAAAAACACAGCTTAAAAGTGCAGCTACTTCGCGAGTAAAATTCTATAATTAAGTCGCTCTGCGCAGACAACAGACGTACTTTTTTTGCTGTAGAACTGCATAGTATTGTTCTCATCACATAGACAGCTCTACGCACATAAATGTACGTCGTCTGCGTAGCACGCTGTGAACTTTACATATTTCTGGAAATTTCTACAATTTAGTGGAAGTTCGCGGATTGGTTGCACGAGGAAGTGGCGCGTTGGCTTCTCCGGCTCCGACTGAGGCCTTGCGCGTTTTTGTCCCACTCCGCTACGCCACTGTTATGTGTAATTTGGAGGTCCGCCGGTCGAAGTTACACCAAGGCTGTAATTCTTAACTTATCCAACGATATAATTACTGAAAATCAAATATCATCAATTCTACAACTTATTACGACTCTACTGTATTTATAACACAGGTATATTCTTAAAAGTATCATCCTACGATATCTAAGTCGACGTATACACTTAAACGGTGCAATGACTAGATTGAGAAATATGTATTAATCAGCAGTACAGCATAATTCGAATACCGCAAAAAGAAACTACACTGACACCTGAGTGGAAGTCTAGAATTATTGTTAATTATTCATTATGTAACTTTCAACTCTTTTAGGGCGTTCGCGCACTGCGGCCGATCCGTATCAGGGGGTCTACTCCCGTTCTCTGTCCGAAACAATTACTGTCAAATAAATAATACTCGACCAAATCAAAAAACAATGTCAAGTATGAAGCTACATTCGCATCATGTGTCTTTTAATTTGGTCGAGTATTACTTATTTTACAATAATTGTTACGGACGGATGTCGGACGGACAACGGGAGTAGACCCCCAGTTTGGAGTCCGAGAAATGACGGTCCGAAGTAGTCATAGTACTATTTATATGAGGGATTACGCACTAAATTCGAATTCCGTCTTCTGAACTCGAGAATACCTTCAATTCGGATCGTTGTTTTCGCGAACCGAAGTAACTACGGAATTATCTATACTAACTCTTGCGCACTGCGTCCGATCCAAGTCCGAACGCGGCGGTGAAGGCTGCGCGGAGAGATGAACGGAAACCGCAAGTATCGATACATATATAATACAATAAAATGGAATTAAAAGTGGACACACCCATTCAGTAATAACTAAACATAAAATCCGTGCTATGTTGTTTAAGTTCATCGTATTTAATATAATTTTTTTTTCTGAAAATTTAGTTCAACAGCAGGTTTACCCAAAGTTTCCATTTTTTCTACGTCTTCGTATGTACTTACAATGCCAAAAGTTGACGGAGATTGAAAGGACAAGTAGTTAATAATAATCTCTAGGCAGGCAAGCGATATACGAATTTTCGTGGATTCGCATTTTACTCTGTGCACAAGCGACATCCGAAGCCGGTCCGAGTTTTCTAGATCTGTATATTCCCGGACTCGGAACGAATACGGATCGAATGCAGTGCGCAAACGCTCTTAGCCTATCTATGTCATTTCCGTAAAATTAGCGAAAGGAAAATAATTATACAATTGTATACTTCTTTGCATATATTTACACTGTAAACTATGCCGAAATTCACTCAGAACAAAATATCTATACATTTTTATTTCATAAAAATTCCAACTAGGATCATGCACTGCGACACTGAATAATGATACAATTTTATACTTCATTGCATGTTTGTATTTATAATGTAAACAATATCAATATACTACTTGTACAATGTACAGCAAAACAGAACAAACCAGATTGGTCTCGGCTTATACAATTTATAACGGTTTTTCATCATTTTTATTAATCAATATTTGCTGTATGAAATCATTTCGCGTGATTCGCTTAACATTCCATTTACGAAGGGAAGTTAGAATTTGCTTTTAACGGATTCTGCGTAGAAGTCGATGTCCTTAGTTTTTGAATATACCAACCATATTATAAACGGTATAAAATGCAAGTATAGATAGACAGGTATATAAATACGTACTAATTCTCATCAGATACTGTTATTTTTTAAATTTATTAATTAATGTTAAACAATCAGTTCTTTATCCGGAAAACAATGAGATTGATACGGATTGTCGTATCTATTGTTTATTAAAAGGGCATTGTTTTGTTGTTAAAAAGGATTCCTGGATTTAAATTGTCTCACGTTTATAATTATTAGACAATAAGTACGAGTATAGGTACATATATTGTACTTGAATAAATGGATAAGTATTTTATCAAGTTTATGATAGTGATTGTATCTAAGTGAGAGCGACTAAATCAGCGTGCAGAATTGGTTTGCCGCTCTAGTTGTATTGGATATATAATAGAAGCGCGGGCGCAGGCTGTTTGTCGACAGCGCAGCCGCGGTGACGCTGCCGTGGTAAGCTGCTAACCGGAATGATCGTCGTGATACTGGGGTCGCTCACCTCGTCCAAACGTCTGCGACCCTGTTCTGCCGGCTTTGTTTTATAACACCTAGAAACTAGGTCAAAATTAAAAAAATACCTACTTTACTGTAACATTATCTGTGTCACGCCATGCCTTTTGTTAATAAAATAAGGCTTATAATAGGTATAAAAATGAAGTAATTTTTGTTATAATATTTTCAAATGTCTTATGCAAGTTACAGCATTTATGCATCAATTTCAATGTCTGTAATCCAGCTTGCTATGTTGAAACTAAACTTTAGTATTTCTTGTTCTAGTGTAAACGAAAGTAATGCTAACTTTCTCGATGACGTCAGTTAGACTATCTCGACGGCCTAACGTTAGTACCGTGGGTGTTAGATGAGGGTTATGAATGGGACCAATTTGGAATACGAATTTTTCTAAATTTGTTCTGGTCTGGATGCTCTGGGTAATAACCACTAAGTGAATTTCGTAGCTCTAGTACTCATAGTACAGGGAATGTCTTAAATTTGAGACCAGGTAGTCCAGATTAAGTGTGGTTGTCTAGCACATTATTATTATAACGTTATAAAAATTATATGTGTTATATTTAACTTACGATATGAAATATGAACGTCATTTATCAGCGAGAACGTTCGTTTTTTTTAGAATTAGAAAAACTGTTAACAAAGAAACAGTAATCTTAATAATAAACCTTCTTTTTTTGCAGACAATAAATTACAGTAAAGGAAAAAGTCGTGAGAATTGATGATAAATGACATTTACAAGTGACACAATAATATGTTATTATTTTGTAAAAAGTTTCCGTTTAATGTTTGGAACCTCTGTTTCAAGTTTTTTATAGTGCAACTTTTCTAAATAGATTAAGTGTGTAAAGATAGAACAATTCTATTTTAATCTTTAGTGAATACGACGAATAAAAAATTAACTTATGAGAATTTAGTTTCACGGTATTTATTAAATTGCTTTTTACTAAATGAAATTACGCCTAATACAAGACCCAAAATTTCCTTCTGCCTAATGCTAAAAAAACGAAGTATAAGCTTGGCAAAAATCTTCTCGAATTCCCTAAAAACCTGCTGTTCCTACTGATACGCAGTAGGAACAGTAGGTTTGTTTTACGATAGTTGTAGTTGAATACAGATTGTGT